GACTTTCTTGCTGCTCTAGGTCCTCCTATTGTGCAACTCTGTTCCCATCGTTGCATCGGGTTGGAGTTTGTGTTCAGCATTCCAAGGCTCAACGTGCTGCCTCTGCTGATGCTGATGTCGCTGCAGAGCAATATCGGCTGGAGATTGAGCGGCTGAATGAAGAAGCGGCGCAGGTGGGATTCTGTTTCGGAGCAGATGCATTTCGCGTCGAAAGGGTGTCTACAATACCAAAAGCTGAGCTTACATTGGATTCTCCACCTCTTGCGTCACCAGGTACCTCAACTGCGAGAAAAGCTTGCAGAAGTTGAGGCCAGTCCAAGTGTCCGCTGGTGAATTGCAGGCAAAGCTGCATTCAATACAGAGGTTGTACCAATCAACTTAGACTTCATGAAGCCTCTGCGTGCCATTTTTGATGAGATTTGTTTTGCTGAGCACTGAGCAGCAGGCCCAAAGTGCTTCAGCCAGAGCTGCAGCAGAGCAACATGAGCAAGAGCTGCATAGTCTCAGAGCAGAAGCAGCACAGGCGAGTTTCGTTCGCAGAGTTTATTGCTGGCCTCTCAACACCAAATCTCTAGAGATGTTGTTTTGCCAGCAGTTGATGGTGACATGAGATTCACGTAGTTGTTGTAGGTGCAGCAGCTCAAAGACAAGCTTGCAGAACTTGAGGCCATTCCAATTGCTTGATGACACACATAGACACAACACAAGCCTGTAGAACCACCCATGCAAAGACTTTCATGGCTTTGGCCGGAGTAAGTATTTTGCTGGGTATCAACAGCCAGACTTTCTTGCTGCTCTGGGTCCTTCTGTTGTGCAACTCTGTTCCCATCGTTGCATCGGGTTGGAGTTTGTGTTCAGCATTCCAAGGCTCAAAGTGCTGCCTCTGCTGATGCTGATGTCGCCGCAGAGCAATATCGGCTGGAGATTGAGCGGCTGAAAGAAGAAGCGGCGCAGGTGGGATTCTGTTTCGGAGCAGATGCATTTCGAAAGGGTGTCTACAATACCAAAAAGCTGAGCTTGCTTTTGGATTCTCCACCTCTGCATCACCAGGTACCTCAACTGCGCGAAAAGCTTGCAGAAGTTGAGGCCAGTCCAAGTGTCCGCTGGTGAATTGCAGGCAAAGCTGCATTCAATACAGAGGTTGTACCAATCAACTTAGACTTCATGAAGCCTCTGCGTGCCATTTTTGATGAGATTTGTTTTGCTGAGCACTGAGCAGCAGGCCCAAAGTGCTTCAGCCAGAGCTGCAGCAGAGCAACATGAGCAAGAGCTGCATAGTCTCAGAGCAGAAGCAGCACAGGCGAGTTTCGTTCGCAGAGTTTATTGCTGGCCTCTCAACACCAAATCTCTAGAGATGTTGTTTTGCCAGCAGTTGATGGTGACATGAGATTCACGTAGTTGTTGTAGGTGCAGCAGCTCAAAGACAAGCTTGCAGAACTTGAAGCCATTCCGATTGCTTGATGACACACATAGACACAACACAAGCCTGTAGAACCACCCATGCAAAGACTTTCATGGCTTTGGCCGGAGTAAGTGTTTTGCTGAGTATCAACAGCCAGACTTTCTTGCTGCTCTGGGTCCTTCTATTGTGCAAGTCTGTTCCCATCGTTGCATCGGGCTGGAGTTTGTGTTCAGCATTCCAAGGCTCAAAGTGCTGCCTCTGCTGATGCTGATGTCGCCGCAGAGCAATATCGGCTGGAGATTGAGCGGCTGAAAGAAGAAGCGGCGCAGGTGGGATGGTGTGTGCTTCTGATCAAATGCATATCGAAAGGGCTTCTGCAATACCGAAAGCTGAGCTTGCTTTTTGATTCTCCACCTCTTGCATCACCAGGTACCTCAACTGCGCCAGAAGCTTGCTGAAGTTGAGGCTAGTCCAAGCATCCGTTGGTCCGCTGGTCAGCCTACAGGAAGAAGCTACGTCGCATACCGGCGAGGTTGCTAAAGTCAATCAGATAATTTTTGTTGTTTGTGAACTTTGCTATGCTTTTCGCAGGCCCAAAGTTCTTCAGCCACTGCTTCAGCTAATGCCGCAGCAGAGCAGCATCAGCAGGAACTGGAGAGTCTCAGAGCAGAAGCAGCGCAGGCAATCGAATTGTTGCAAGCATTGATTGCTGGCTTCTCAACACGGAATCTCTAGAAGTGTGTCTTTGCCAGCAGGTGATTTCATAGTGATGTGAAATGTGCGGGTTGTTGTTGTTGTTGTTGTAGTAGGTGCAGCAACTCAAAGACCAGCTTGCAGAACTTGAGGCCCTTCAGATTGCTTGATGACACAAAGCACATGTGCGTAAAAGCCACCAATGCAGAGATTTTTATGGAATTGGCCACATCAGCATTTCAACACTCTTGTGCAAAACTAATTGCAGAACGTCCAAAAGGTTTACGTCCACCAGGTTTACATAACTGCTTAAAGTCTTTTGCTGGGTATGAACAGCCAGGGTATATTCCTTTCTTCCTGCTTTGGCTCTTTCTGTCTGCAACTTTTGGCGCATCAATAAGCTGAAGTTTTTACTATTGCAAGGCTCAAAGTGCTGCCTCTGCTGATGCTGATGTCGCCGCAGAGCAATATCGGCTGGAGATTGAGCAGCTGAAAGAAGAAGCGGCGCAGGTGGGATTGTGCTTCTGATCAAATGCATATCGAAAGGGCTTCTGCAATACCAAAAGCTGAGCTTCTCCACCACTTGCATCACCAGGTACCTCAGCTGCGGGAGAAGCTTGCTGAAGTTGAGGCCAGTCCAAGCATCCGTTGGCCCGTTGGTCAGTTGCCTACAGCATACAGGTAGAAGCTACGTTGCATACCGGCGAGGTTGTTAAAGTCAATCGCAAAGCATGGTTGTTTGTGAATATGTGAACTTTGCTGTGCTTTTCGCAGGCCCAAAGTGCTTCAGCCACTGCTTCAGCTAATTCCGCAGCAGAGCAGCACCAGCAGGAACTGGAGAGTCTCAGAGCAGAAGCAGCGCAGGCAACCGATTTGTTGCAAGCATTGATTGCTGGCTTCTCAACACGGAATCTCTAGAGAGGTGTCTTTGCCAGCAGGTGATTTCATAGTGATGTGAAATGTGCGGGTTGTTGTTGTAGGTGCAGCAGCTCAAAGACCAGCTTGCAGAACTTGAGGCCCTTCAGGTTGCTTGATGACACAAAACACATGTGCGCAAAAAGCACCAATGCAGAGGTTTTCATGGAACTGGCCACGTCAGCATTTCAACACTCTTGTGCACAACTAATTGCAGAACGCCCAAAAGGTTTACATAGCTGCTTAAAGTCTTTTGCTGGGTATGAACAGCCAGGGTATATTCCTTTCTTCCTGCTTTGGCTTGTTCTGACTGCAACTTTTAGCGCATCAAGTTGACGTTTGTACTATTGCAAGGCAAAATGTGCTGCCTCTGCTGATGCTGATGTCGCCGCAGAGCAATATCGGCTGGAGATTGAGCGGCTAAAAGAGGAAGCGGCGCAGGTGGGATTGTGCTTCTGATCAAATGCATTTCGAAAGAGTGTCAGCTCGAGCTTGCTTTTGGAGTGTCCACCTCTTGCATCACCAGGTACCTCAACTGCGGGAGAAGCTTGCTGAAGTTGAGGCCAGTCCAAGCATCCGTTGGCCCGTTGGTCAGTTGCCTACAGTATAGAGGTAGAAGCTACGTCGCATACCGGCGAGGTTGTTAAAGTCAATCACAAAACATGGTTGTTTGTGAATCTGTGAACTTTGCTGTGCTTTTTCGCAGGCCCAAAGTGCTTCAGCCACTGCTTCAGCTAATTCCGCAGCAGAGCAGCATCTGCAGGAACTGGAGAGTCTCAGAGCAGAAGCAGCGCAGGCAATCGATTTGTTGCAAGCATTGATTGCTGGCTTCTCAACACGGAATCTCTAGAGATGTGTCTTTGCCAGCAGGTGATTGTAAGAAGGCAAAAGGTTTGTTGCGAGTCTATCTGCCTGTTACAGCTGGTTATTGTAAGCTTGACGGCCTCAGATGATGTGAGTGTTCCAGCTCATGATGTTGATGTGACGTGTGTGTTGAAGGTGCAGCAGCTCCGCGACAAACTTGCTGAACTGGAGGCCATCCGGATTGTTTGAGGAATTGAGTAAAACACATTCGCATTTGTGCCAACATGACACTGTCTCACCACCCCTCGCTTGAAATCCTTCTTCAACATTTGAGAGCACAGAGGCTCAAAGTGCTGCCTCTGCTGGTGCTGCGGAGCAACACCAGCAAGAGATAGAGCACCTCAAAGCGGAGGCAGCCCAGGTGGGTTTGTTTCTTTTAGCTTGTTGGAGCAGCTGCAGTCTTCATCTCATTAATCTCAAGGTGCTTCAACTGCGCGAAACACTGGCGGAAGTTGAGGCCTGTCAAGTTGGGCTGGTCAGTTGCAGGTTTGGATTTCAACCTGATTTTCTTGTGGCATTGTTTCATCCAGATGAGGTTGCACCCAAGTCAATCAGATAAATCATGATAAATCTGTTGTTGTTTGAGATTTGTTTTGCTTGTCACAGGCCCAGAGTGCTTCAAGTGATGCCATGGTGGGGATCCCCAGCCTCACAAGATCGACAGTCGCTTTGCAGAAGCTTTGCAGGCAGAGACTCGTTGAAGAAGTGACAGCATTGTTTTCGTCTTGCAGGTACAGCAGCTCAGAGACAAGCTTGCTGAAGTGGAGGCTGCCCTTGAGAGGTTCCAGCTTCTGTAAAAAGTGTGCGTCTTGATCTGCGGCAGGCGCAGAGCGCCTCTGCTTCTGCTGCTGGTGAGCAATACCAGCAAGACATAGAGCGCCTCAAAGCGGAAGCAGCGCAGGTGGGGATTCTTTTCATCAACCAGCGGCGTGGCCCATAAACTGGAATTCTCCGCCCAGAAACACAGGCGGCTAAGCTATCAGATTTTTTCGAGTATAGAATGACTTCACCGAGACCTCCTTTGTTTAAAGATAGACTTTTTTACCCATTGGTTGATGATGCAGCTGGGGAGGCATGCCCCGACACAGGCTTGTGTAGATGCAGCAAAATCGCAACATCCATCGGTTCGAGGACTCCCAAGTCTGTGGCCCCACTTCTTCCGGTCTCGTGGCTGGAGGTGCCTCCATTGCGGGAGAAGCTGGCGGAGCTAGAGGCGGAACTCCGGAACGCGTTCCCCGGTTTTGCGGGACGTAGTCGTGTTCTCGGTGGACGTGGCAACTAGGGATGTTCCAAGGTTAAGCCATGCAACGAATTGGAGTAGATTGGGGACGGACATGAAGTTCCTGCTCACTCAAGAGAAATTCACACATTTTGTTGGAGGACAGAATCTTGAGAATGCTATACATGAATGATGTTGCTGCTTTGCCGGAATGCTTTGGGTTGGGGTGTAGGGGGAGATTCCCCATTGTTGCCCCAGCTGATGTTTTTGGTTGCAGGCGCAAAGTGCTGCAGCTGGTTCTGCCGCGGAGCAGCAGCGCCATGAGATTGACAGTCTCAAAGCAGAAGCAGTGCAGGCAACATGTTTCGATTCGTTCGAGTCGATATAAAGCGTGGTTCCGGAACGAATCCAGTTCAAGGGGGCTTCAAAAGGTCTCGTTTACCAGACTCCTGACCACCTTCTCATAGTTGGCCTTTTACTAAGAAAAGAACGACCACTTGCATCGGACAAACAACCGCGAACTGGTGACTTGTGCAAGACATATTACTATTTTTATTTTTTACTTTTTTGTTTGGTCGATTAGAGGGGCCCTCAAGGCCCTTCGTCGTGTCCAACCCAGCGCCGAACCGTCGAACAGGACACCCCCCGCCCCCCGACGGAGTCTCCCGACGGGGTTTCTGGCGGGATCGCAGGTGCCGGAGCTGAAGGAGAAGCTAGCGAAAGCGGAGGTGGGTGGGTGAAGAGTGACGACAGCGGGAAAGCGGAATGGCTAGTATTTGGATGTATTTTGGCTCATTTGAGGATTGGTGAACTCATGACTTGGAGACTTAGCCATGTTTGGAGCTTGCAGGACAGTGTAAGGGTCATAATTCGTGACATGCGAGCTGGATTGTTGGTCGAAGAAGTCCAATGGTCACCGTTCGACCCATGCCAGTGGATTGTAGATCAAGGTTTATTGAACCAGCGGCCCCACTTCGTCCTTTGATACTGCCCAGCTGGCGAAGTACCGACGAGCCCCGACCCCGCCCCAACCACCCCCGACTGGCCGCCGAACCCGATCCTCCGACGGGGCACATCCATCGATCGCGAACGCGGCAAGCTCAGGCCATGGGCGAAGCGGCCAGAGAGGCTGCAGCTCAGGCTTCGCGGTTCGCGCAGGACTTCGCGCGGTTCGGAAAGCGGAACCGGGATCAACGCGGTCCCCGAGCACGGAGGGTGCTCTGATCCCGAGAAGAGTCGTAGGCCATTTTCACATCACCAACCAAGAATGGTGTGAAAGAAGCAATATCTTTCCCACAGCCTTGCCAGAGTGTGGAGTAAAGTGCCAGGGCGAAGTGCTTTGAGAACTTTGAGGTTTGAGAGGGCATGGAAGTAAGGTTGAAAACAATAAGGCATGTGCGAGAAAGGCCGAGGCAAACCATTTGGGGCTTGAGTCCGAAGCTGAAGGGGTTTGTATGTTCATGGGGAAACTTTCCACCAAGGGGTTGAGTTGTGGTCTATTTGCATTCTTCCAGGGGATTTCTCGGGGGTCTCCCTATCCCAATGCACACCCATCGGACACGGCCAACAGCATTTACTGCCAGCGATCGAGGCAGTTCTCCAAGAGATCTTGATGTTTCCCATGAATCAGCGCTTGGTACATGAACACTGGAACGGGTGGGAATAGTAACAGTTGAGAAGGAGTCTGGATGAAGGTAACGGAAACAGAGGTGCCTTCGATAAGGAGTACAAGACCCATCCCACCCACTGCTTTGGCAGAGTGTCAAGAAGGGCCCTGTCTGGGTCTCATGTATTTTGCCAGGCTGTCAAGAAAACTGGGAGAAATGCCCGTGAAAGATACATGAAACTTCTTTGCCAGGTAAAAACACATTCTTCTTAGTGTAAGGAAAGGGTGAGCTTCTCCCTTCAGCGTTTGCTTGGGCGTTTTGGGCGACCGAATGCTGCCCGAGAGCTAGGCAGTGAAGAAGCAGAAGGAGGCAGGAGGAAGGAGCGGAGTGTGGCCAAAAGGATTGGTTGCAAGAACACGGATTAAAGATGATTCAAGGTCTTCTTCATCTTCATCAACATCAATAGATCAACCGAACACACTTTAAGCCAACTAGTTACGTTCTTTGGCTTAATCTCAATAGTTGAAGAACTAGTCCTGAACTTCGGAATGTGAAACTGACGAAACGTGGCCGTGGCCGTGGCGAAACGTGGCCACGGAGATACAGGGTTCGGTGGAGAAGCGTCCAAGCTACGATCCCCAGCGATTTCCTCGGTCGGTCGGGATGAACTTGAATGAAGATGAACAAAGTCCCTACAGAACCGTGTTGAATGAGATTTCATTCACCAGACGGGCGGACCCGCGGGTCCCGCTCGCGCAGGCGGAGCGGGTGCGTTCGGCGGAGGCCCAGGCCTGGCAACAGGCCGAGGTGGCCTTGGACTCGGCCAAGGCGGGAGACGTGGATCGAAAGAGAGGAATTTGAGAGGAAGTTGGAAGGCAGTGGGGATTTTCCGAGAAGAGTAGAGTTTTTTCCATTAGTTTTGTCCATATTTTTCCATATGTTTCTTATATTTCCCACTGCCCACTATGACTGAGCCAGTGGGGATTTCACTAGGCATGGACCACTTAGCCCCATGTGCCCAGAGTGTTGGTGTTTCTTTTTTTCAGCCACTACGGGCCAGTGTACCGAAACCCATCACTGTTCTTGGCCCAAATGGGGGACCACTTGGATGGTAGAATGAGGGCACCTGGTAGGTCCAAAGCCTCGGACTCAGTGGTTTCTTTTGGTTGGAGGCCGTCGCTATCAATGGTGATTGCGAAGGCCTCCAACCTAAGAGCGATGGCCTCCAACCTAGGTTGCTGAAACATTCATTTGGTTGGAGATTGGTGTTCCACGTTGCAAAGTAACTTTATTTCATCCCTAATGATTTCCTGGAGCAGCATGTTTGTCTCGCATGACTCACGGCGTCGTCTTGTCGTCTTGAAAGGATGCGACTCTCTTTTTCTTTCTCCCCGTGCCTGGGGAAGTGGCTGCAGAAGGGTTTTCCTCCTTCTTGCGACCGACGCCCTGGGTCGGCGCAGGTTGAGAAGGAGAACCTGCAGAAGACGGTGGACGCTCGACGCTGACCTCCGTCGTTTCGGGTCCTTTCGGGTCGTCAACGTCATGTCACCTGCGCTGCTCCGAAACGGTACGAGAGGTGGCCAGGTTGGGGTTGAGGAAGAGATAGAGGGAGGAGACAGGGGATGGGCGGTTCTATCAGAATGATATATATATATAGTATGTGAGGAACGGGATCCTTTCACAAGCAGTGCTGCATTGTTGCCTCCCATGAACAGAAAGGAGCAAGCAAACCCAAGACACAAACCCAAGACAGCCATTGTGGCCACACAACTCCACTTTGGTCCCTCACTCTTTGGTCTTGAAATGTGGACCGAAGTCTTCCAATCACCATTTGGGGGGGCTTCGTTCCTTCGTTCCTCCACGCTGAGGATAAGCTCCGAGCAGAGCTCTCGCAAGCCACGCAGGCGACGCAGCTCGCTTCCCGAGATCCCAAGGAGGTTGGAAACTCCCCTTTGGAAGCCGATGTCACAAAGCACTTCGGCACATGGAGAGACATGGAGAGACGACTCTTGAGCCGAATCAGCGTTCTTTCACTATACAAAGAGCGAGTCAACCCCCAGAATCCAAACAACTCCCAGGATCCAATCAACTTCCAGGATCCAATTTGAGAACCCCCCCTTATTTGTTTGACACGAGAACTGGTTCCTTCGTTGGACCGTTTGGAACTCCTGTCAGCTGTCCTCACCCCGGCACCACCGGAAGTCCCGGTGGTCCAGGTGCCGAATCAGGACGAAGCCGAGCTGGCGCAGCTGCAAGAGCTGCAGCAGGCGCGGATGACAGAATGCAGAGGAGGAGGGGTCCCCTGTTCCCCCACAAAAATGGAGCATCGGCTCGGTTTGGGACCCTTATCAAAAAGGGATCAACGAAGTGAAAAACAAAGGCATCTCCTTATCAAAAGCCGGCTCCGGTCTGTCCCGTCCGGTCAGGAAAGGAGGGGTGGTTTGGGACCGGTCTCACGCCCAGGAACTCCAAGGCGCGAAGGAGGCCTCCAGAGTCGAGGCCGGGCTCGTTGGACTTGAGATGTTCAGAGCAGAGCGATGTTCAGGGCAGTGTTTCAGTTGAAGAAGCCCCCCCCATGCACCCACCAACCGGTTCTGAGGGGCTTAGTCTGCATCAGGCCCAATGAAAGAAACACATCGAGAATTGACGGACTGCGTGCCTCCTCTTAGGCTCTTGGAAGCTGTTGATGTGAACCCACACGCGGCCCGACCAAACCGGTTTTAGGGTCTGGACATGCACTGCTACCGGTCAAGCATCCAGAAACCCGACCAGGTTTGTCTCACAACCAGGGGAAATCACCGTACAACTCACAAATCCACCCCCCAAAGAAAACCCACATCCATTTAATTCCATTATATATAGTTGCCCAGCGAAGGAATCATGCTTCTTCAGACCGCAGCGCGGGGCTACAGGCGGAGCACGGCCGCGAGCTGGCGCTGAAGGCGCAGGAGTGTCCTGCGTCGAACGATGCGTGGTGCACGGTTCGGGCAGTCTTTCAGTCTTTCATCTTGAGAAGCACGGTTCGGTGCACGGTCGGAGGTTTGGGTGTTTGGGGTTTGTTTGCAGAACTCGAGGAGCACGAAACGGGCTGACTCATGGCCACCGGCCGCTGGCCCGTTCCGCTGGCCCGTTCGGTGGCCGTCGCACCGAAGGAACCGAGGGGTTTCTCACCTCCGACCCGTGATGACGAGGTGACGATAGGTGACGAGGTGATGCCGTCGGTGATGAGGTGCATCTTTTCACCACAAGAGAGGCCCAGCCATTGTGAGGTTGCTGACGTGAGGTTCGAGGTTTAGACTAAAGGAGCTCGGTTTCCCCTCTCATGAAGACAGATTTGTCTCGCAAATGGTAATTTGTTGGGGTGATCGCTGAGATGCTACTACCTTTTTGCTCACCTTGCGATCCTGCAACATTGAAGTCATTTGGGTGAATGCAGGAAAAGATTCTTCCTTGAAATGTAGGTCTTCTTCATCCTCCCAGACACCCACCAATACCTTCGCGGACCGCATGGGGGCATGGGCCACATGCAGGAGGCCCAGCGACGAGAACTTCAGCTCCAAGAGCAGTTGCAACTCTCTGCCAGCGAGGCGTTTCGGATCTGCTGGGGGGTGGACCGGCGGCGGAACCCGCGGTGGACCGGCGGAACGCGGCGCTGTCCTGGAGAACGGAGCTGGGCTTGGGAAGGGGCATGGCGAACGGAGGGTTGCGAAGTCGAAGCTTGGACAGTTCTCGGATTTGGACGGAATGCATGGATTTACATTCACTTTAAACACTTCCAAGACCGTAAAAAATGGGAACGACCTGGTTTTTGTAGTGTAACACCCTTAGTTGATTCGGGATTCAGCCTATTAAATGAATGGTGGGCCAGGAAGCCTAGGGACTAATTAGTGGATCCAGATGATCGACGGAAGGATGTCGCATTGGACATAGACGTGTCCGTGCTGTGGATGTCCATGGTCTTAAGCCTACCCCTGACCTCAAAATTAGTGGTTAAGGCTAAGGGGCGGTAGACCACTTGCTGCACCTGCGGACATCAGCAGAGAATTTCGTCGTGCACCAGTTTTGCGTTTGGAGGATTCCTTAGAGGCCTAAAGGGACCTGAAGAAACGGAGGTGCACCCCAAATCTGTGTCGTGACCAGAACTTAAGATAATGCTCCGGTGGTTTTGAGACCAACCTTTCATAAAGCAACCATCCGACCAACCATCCAACAATCCATCCAACCATCCGACCGGTGTTGTTTTGTTTCCAACCAAAAAAGGGAGTCCCCTCCAACACCCGTTCCGATTCCCGCCATTGGCGGAACCACAACGCTCGCTCGGCGCCGGCTCTCGTTCTGCAGGTCTCGCAACTGAAGGCGCAGGTCTTGGAGCTCGAGGCGCGCGCAACACATGCGCGCGCGTTCCCGCGACCTGGTCACGCCGGATGGGTAGGTTTTGGGGAGTAGGTTGTTGGTTTGGATCTTTTGGAGTGGACAAAGACTTGAACTTGGGATATGGAATGATATCTGCAAGAGTCTTTTTAGGCTCTTTTTCAGTCCGAGAATCACCAGCATTCCAGTAGCACTCCCAACCTACTACAATTCTGGGTGTGGAACAACCCGTTTAAACATGTGATTGAACAAAGATGGGCCCTCAGAGATGAAGATGAAGCAGGTTTACTTGGTTTTGGTGTTCAACACATACGCAGACGCGGAGTTTCATGTTGGGACCCAACATCTTGCAACAGCAGAGCCATCATCAAGACCATTCAAGACCTCTGTGCCATTCTCTGCCTATGAAGTGGACATCCATCCCATAGATCCCATAGTACGGAACTCAAGCGGTCAATTCATGGTCTTGAGTCAGTATGACTCAGTATGACTCAGGTGTTTTCACATGGCTTTGCAGCATTCCCGGCCTTTTTTGCGTACAATCCATGCAAAGCTGTTCGTCTTGGGATCCTGCCCTCCTCGACCCGTCCTCGCGCGCCCTCACCGGGCTCGCCTCAGGCAGGCTTGGAGCTTGCTAGGGAGGCCGCTCTGCAGGCGGTGGAAGACGGAACGAAGCCTTGCTTTGCACCAACTGCCCGCAAACTTGCACGGGACAGACCTGTTAGTGAGGAGATTTGGTGGGGGAACCTGTTGGAAGACGGAAGTTTTTCTGTTTTTTGCCAAAGAACTTGTCTCGTTTTGTCCCCTTGGTGAAACAAAAGAACAATTTCACTCGGACACTCGCTGTTGCGAAGTGTAGCGCCACGTAGCGCCGCGTAGCCACTCCCCGGCTCACCTGTGCAAGGTGGGTCGATGGGGTTGGGCACTTGGCAAACTCTTCGCGTTTGAAGGTTTGGAGGTTTCGATGTCGTCCTTAGCTTGTGGGGGGACCACAGTGGGGTCCCCCTATAGGACATGATGTTGGTTTCAAGCAGAAAATGGGGCCTCTAGGCACAAGAGAAGTATGACATATGGTGACATGATATCTCAGGGTGACACCTAGCAACCGTGTGGACGCGATGATGAGCGAGTTCTGTGCATTGTTCTTGGGCCAAAAACTGCTGTGGCGCTGCCTGCGTGTTTGGACTAGCTTGGGGAGACTATCACATGAACCTTCAGCATGGTACCACATGAGACTATCACAGGAACCACGTGTTTGGACTAGTTTGGACTATCAGCATGGTTCTGGTTGTGTTGAGATCTTTTTCCTCCCTTGGATTTCTGCGATCCGGAGGCGGATGCAGAGGCCAAGCAGAAGCAGGCCAGGTGACAACGGCGCGCGACGGGGGACCTTGGAATGGGCCGAGGAGAAGATCCTCCTGCAGAAGCTTGAGCCACCTGTTTTAGGGAACAACATGTTTAAGTTTTTCCCCTTTACATCCACCTTTTCTCAGGATCCCTATACTAGTTTAACTGCTGTCCCGTAATCTTCGTGGTCTTGAGGGTGTGGTCTTGCAGGTATGGCAAGAGTGGTTCACATTCCCCGACGTTGAGGTGTATATAGATGGTGAAATCTGGAACAGAGGGCCATGCAGTAGGTGTTGTAGTTCTGCTGATTGCAGACCGCTGCACCACCAGTGTTTGACGCATGCTCAGTCAGTGGTGTTCACGTTGTGGAAAGAAAAGCACACCAAAGCAACAAATCGTTTATGCCACGACCAACCAGGGGTGGTGGTTCGTTTAACATCGTTTAACATAGAGATCTCATCCCCGGGTCTCTTGGGAAGGATAGCTGCTCTGAAGACTTCTCATCCACTTGGATTGAACCTCTACTGAGGGGCTGAGGCATCAGTTGTCAGAAACTCACCTTCTAAGAAGAGCCCTGGTTTTCAGGAACCGCATGGCTTTCAGGAACCGCCGATCTGTCCGTCGGCCATCCGCACCCCCAACACGGCCGTGAGTGACGCAGCACCTGACGGGTTCGGAGAGAACGTGACCGTAGTTCTTGTGGGTGGTCGGCATTTCCTGCAGCGGGTGGTCAGGTCCCTGGCACCACTTTGGTGCTGCCACTTTGGATTTGGGACAGTTCGAGCAATCCCAACCTTTGCATCAACGGACTTCATGGGGCTGTTGAACTGGAGCATTTTTGGCTCAGATTGGATCGACATCGACCATACACGTGGCAGCCGCAAGCAAGGCAGACGATTGGCCGTCGCACCGCATGTGGCAGGAAAACGCAACTTGGGGCACGAGTTTCTTCACTTGCCGGTGTTGCAACAAATTGGGACACATTCCAACTAAAAACCGAAGCCGCAAGGTGAAGTGCATCGTCAACTTTTGTAACCGCTTTGAGGTACAAATGCCCCTCTTCTTTCCTCACTGGGTGTTTATAGCATCCGATCTACCCTCCACCGGTCAGAAGGCATCAGAACAGGCATGGTGCGCTCAGGTTTTTTGACATGAGGATTTGGAAGTGGTTTGTCCTTTGTTGCCACTGGGCAGCCAAGCCATACCCTTGATGGACGAGACACCTGTCAAACGTTTCTTTTTCCGGACATTCGAACGTTGCGGTGCACATCAGATAATATCACTTCTTTCTTCGGATCTTCCCCAAATCACGGCTACCACCGGGGTTGAACATAGAAGGTGCCAAAAAAAAAAATAAGAAGAACAACCTAAGAAAAACCACTGACATCACCGACACAGTTCAGGATTGAACCTCCCAAATCCGCCATCCATGGAACTTCGAAAAAGAACAAAACAGAGCGAACAAGAACTCTCGCCCATGGCCCATGGCTTTGGATGCTCCGGTGGTTGCGCCGAGCGCCACAAGCGCCACACGAGAGTGGCGACCACCAGGCCGAGCGGGGAGAGCCGCGCCGTTTACGTGGAGGGGTCAAGGCTTGCTGTGGTTGGCAGAGATTGGAGGACAAAAATGGTGAGGCATAATTAATGTCATATCCTATCTTGTAAAGAGAGCCAAGGAGGCTTGCTACTTCAATCATCAGCCACGGAAGTTGGTGAACTGCTATAATGTCTTTGGTATCCACCAAAGGGGTCAAAAAGCCGAGAAAGCAATGATCAGAAACTGCCATGTAAAGTCTCAAATCATTCACCCACGCAGTCGATGTTTTTCTTCCACCTCGAAGTCGATGTTTTCTGTTTTCTTGGAGCCCTAGATCTCGCATGAGGCCCTGCGCGAGGAGTGCGCACAGGGGGTGTCAAGGCGCGGACATGCCGCGCACAACGCGCACGCCTTCGTTGAGATGCGCAACGCGCGCTTGGACCTTCAGACTCAGTACTGTAGCGAACTTGGGTTGGGAGGGAGGATCCCAAAAAGCGTCCCTTCGTTGAAGAAGCATCCTTGATCTGTAGCCAAGCAAGAGCGTAGTCACGGAAAGCTAGAAACAGAGCTGTTGCCAGGGCAGGCAGATGGACACCCATACCAAGAACGGCCAAAACAAGCCGTCTTTCCATGCTCGGTTTTTCTGCTTTCTTCGCTCGGTGTTTTGACAACCGAGGCAGGGCCAAATGTGAAGCCTGCAACTCTGAAGCCACCACTGGGCATCATCTCGTCAAGACAAGTTCTCTGTTCCGCTGTGGATTTTCACCCCGGTCCATCTGGATCCGGTGTGTCACACCCATCGGTGCGCGCCAGGCGCAAGCCTTGCTCAAACGCCTGAATTCCAGATCTGTGCCGAACGCAGAGGCAGAGATCATCGCTTCGCGTCAACGGAAGGGGTGGACCAGTCGACCGGTCGACCGATCGGTGCGTCGTGACCGTTTCACCGGAGCGTCGTTTCGGCTGGGATCGCACCAGTTGGGACCGAAAGCGTTTTGGTCGTTTCTTCACGTTGCATGTGATTTGGACCTTCGTCCCCACATGTCCCCACACCGGGTGGGACTTCACCCCACCTTTCTCTTCGGCGGTCGGCGGTCCGGTGGAGACCGGCTCCCGCCGCCCCCGGCCGAGCCGGAGATCGGATGCGGATCGATGGAGCCGTCAGGCGCTGACGCTCCTCCCGAAGTTGCTGAAGCGCAAGGTGCTGCGCTCACCCAAGGAGGCCGGTGCCACGGGCCAACAGCCGCGGGCTTTTGAAGAAATGCGCACGCGCGCGCGATTTCTTCCTTTTCTTTTCCATGAGGCCATGGGCCATGGGGAGCTTCATTTTTTGGGGGGGAGGGGGATTAGATGTGAGATGGCCGGGGTTGTGTGGACAAGTGGGTGGGAAGGGGAACTTGGTTTCAACAGCTTTGGTCTTGGAACCTTTGTCCAGAGCATTCTGGCAGTGGACTGGCGTCGCAAACCCAAAACACCAAAAGGATAACTCCTCCTTGTGAAAGATGGTGAAAGATGGTTATAGCCAGTTTCCGTGGTCATCTTCAAATCATTTCAACATTTTGATGTAGCACACGTCATGTTTCCGTGGTCGCCGTGAGCCGTTTCTTCCGGCGAAGGGCGAACCATGACATGAGAGATACACCCGGGAAGAGGAGACCCACATGGAACCTGATGGCATGGACCAGACTGGAAGACTATTTCCCTCTACAACCCAGTGGTTTTCAGGTTCCATGTCAAGTTTCCTGGGTGTATCACATATTTTTGACATTGTTTGAGCTGTATGTGTGTGCATTTTACTAATTAGTTAAGTTGTTTAGGTCTATATATAGAGTCTAGCACTTGGTGGTAGACGGTGGATGGTAGCGGATTTGGGCACGAAGCTTGCGGAAGCGAAGACAAAAAGAGAAGGATTGAGAAGGACACCGGCTCGAGAGGTGGAATTTGCTACTTGTATACAGGTATCTCAGATATGCTATTCATTGCAAGATTTGCTCACAAACAAAACCACCGAGCAAAGATCTTGCATCTAAGGCGGAACCGCGTTTGTAACGTGCGAAAGCTTCCACCAGTGTTCACCCTAAATATGCTGGGAAAGGGCAGCAGGGGTTTTCGTTTGCTCCCCTTACCACCACAGGACGTGCAACAAACGTGGCAGGTCACCAAAGCTGTCATCTCCTTGTACAAACGTGGCCTCTATCGAGAGGCGGGAGAGGCTCAGCGTGGCCTTGCTGACTTGCCCTCAAGAGTCAACCTTAAGTTGGTCGCATCCTTGAGTGGGGATTGAATCACCTGACATGTTATATAACTATGTATGCATACCAGGACCCTCCAAGGGGTGTCCAATGAACTACCCCACACTACCTATAGGCTTCCATTGGGCACCCCTTGGAGGGTCCTGGTATGTTGGCATATGTATGTTATCACACTAGTTGTGGCAGTGGTAGCTTCATTTACTCCCGTTGGAGCCTCCGGACCTTCCAATGAGACCCTCCAAACCGGGAAACAAGGCCCCCACCTGGCCGTTGTACACCTTGGCTGTACATGGAAAGCGGATCACCGACCCGCAAGCGGGCAAGTACAGACAAGATGGTGATCAAAGAGAACATGCGCACATCAGCCATTGGTCCTGTGGTTTGTGAACGCTTCTGTTGATTGATCTATCCAGCAAAACGCAGCTGAACGGATGTGGACTGTGGGGATTGAGCTTTGACCAGGGTGACATTCTGGGGTGACAGATGTTTGCACTTTTCGCCATGTTCGATCGTTTGTTCCCCCAGATGAAGGAGGAGACGCGAACTTGGACTCCTCCTTCGGGCTCCAATTGTCTTCGTAGATTGAAAGGGTCGTTTCAAGAGTTATAGACAAGAAGCGGTGGACCGGCTCCAGAATGATATACTATAATCAGTAGGTCTTGTTTCTCATGCACCTCCGAGCTTGACCATGCACGCATTGGAGCTACGGTAAATGCAAGCTTTTTTGAGATGCAGGAGTCCTGAATCTCTCCATCTTGCACAGCCCCAACGTGGGCATCAGATGCCAGCAAAGAGCTTTTGCTACCCCCAAAAACCTTGGGGCTTTGGCAAGAAGACTTGCTAATCAAGGCACTTATTGAGAAATTTGCACTTGCTCATCATCTTCATGATTTGATTCGGATCAAACTTCTTCCACTCTTGGCCGCTGAGCCTCCGCCCCTCCGCCTGCACCCCCTGCCTTGTTCGGATCGCCCGAAGCCTTCGCCGGTGCAGCACCGGATGAGGCGGCGCAGTTCGCGCTGGATGCGTGCCTCTGGGGCGAGGAAGGCGAAGAGACGCTGGGACCCAGCGCGGATGGCGCCAAGGCTGCCAAGGCCAAGCTGGTGGAGGGAAACACCTTGATTTGCAGTAACTTGGAAGGAAGATGGAAGGCTGTATCTAAGCCTTTAAGGCTTGCACTTGTTCTTGTTTCAGGTTCTTTGTTTTTCTTTTCACCGCCCTTTCAGAGAATTCACTGTTTTCTTCGAGCTAACCCTTGGGCAGTTGACAGCTCAGAAGGGGAGGGCAGGTCAAATTGCTGGTCTCATCAACCACTCATCAGACCACATGGGCTTTGGACGACGTCTCTTCCGTTTGGCTGGGCGGATGGAGGCTGGATTAGGGCTGGCTTAGGGCCGGGCTTCAGGGTCCGGCTGGTGGTTTCCCTGAGACGATGTCTTCGGACACATCTTGACCTTTGCTCACCATGCGCAAGGCAGACATGCATGTCCATGTGATGCCCAAGTGATGGTTTTCTAATTCGCACTCTTCGAAAGACATGCAAGCATATACAACCCAACTTTTGTGAGACGCTCTTCCAAACTCTTGTGGGGCCTTGTGGCTATGTCAATGGAGCTCCATGTGCCCTGCGTCCATCGTCTTCAGCCCATCCCGAGCGTGTTTGACACCGCTTGCGATGCCCAAGGCAGTGCCCTGCGTGCGTGTGGCGTACGTCAGGGCTGGCAGATGGCGTTGCAACTCCTCGAGCACCCTGCCAGCGCACGGAGTTCACGGAGCGGAAAGGGAATGGAGAGATGTCATGTACTGGTGGGCAGAATCTGTAAATGCGTTCAACCACTAGATATGAGGAGCAGCGGATTTTGGATGACTTGGGCTGGGATTTGGGATGATTTGTGCCACAGAAGAGATGTTTTGTTCGTCTTTTGGTGGAGCCACGGGCAATGACACACACACACACACATGTTAAACTGTTAAGTTTAGCCCACCTGCAAGACCAATTCGCACTGAAAGCCCACTGGACCACAAAACTTGGGTCCGATGATTCATGGCAGATCAGTCAGATGAGCGGCATTCATACATATAACAGAGACCAGCTCACTCATATTGCACAGCTCATGATCACCTGCGCAACTCGTTGGATGTTTAAACCAATGGGGCTCCAAATGAAGGAATCAACGAACAATTTGTTTCACCAAACGAATCAGAACGGCAGCCCCTTCTCCGCAAGAGGACCGTCCAGGACTGATTCGTTTGCGCCACACAGCTCGCATGCTGCCCCAGTCATCGTCGGATGTGCCACCGAGGCGCGCGCAGGATGCTCACATCCAGTTAGATGACTCTTGGTCACAGAAAGACTCGTGGAAGCGCAAAAGTTTGTCTGAGGCTTCAAACGACAAGTTCCTCATGAAATCCTCCTTCTTCTGGCCACTTTGGGTCTTCCAAGGGTCCTATGAAATCCACCTGTTCTGCTTCTGAGAGCCTGAGGATGGGCCTCTGAATTCAGAAACTTTCTCACCCAATGGCACTGCGGGCTTAGATTCCATTGGTTCAGAAAGACTCGGAATTCAGAAACTTATGGGAAAGGAATTCTCTCTAAAGCTACTACTCCGGACCTTCGCTGACTTCAAGGAACAGCATCAAATACAGCGTATCTGAGGTGATTTTCAAGCTACGTGAGGAGGAAGAACATGGAAGAACAAAACCGACAGCTTCAGATCAGCTGCTAGTTACTAGCACATCGATTCCATTCAAGGTCTTATCACAAGACCAGTCCATTGATCTATATTCAAGTTTCAGCGATCTTTTACAGTTCTTTTTTCAGGAAAAAAGAGATCTGCAGTCTCTTCATCCTCCAGAGAAGGTGGCTCCTCCTCCCCCCTGCTACTGTCCGTTTCGCCGCAGAGGCCCGTGCACAAGACAACGCCGTGGTGGCCTTGGCCTCCAGTGGTCGCCCGCAGCTGGCACTGCAGCGCCCAGGCGCGCGCTCTGCGGGAGCTCGGGGAGCGCGCTCTGCGCTCCGCGTGGGGCATCCACGGGTGAAGAGCCGAAGGATTTTCAGAGAGAGAGAGAGAGAGAGCACGGTATATTTGGCTTCAGAGGCACAACGAGACGATGCCATGGAAGCTGGCTGTGGGCACTTTCAGAGAGAGCACGGTATATTTGGCTGAAGAGATCTGAAGAGCCGCAACAAGAGATGCCATTGATGATATGGCTGTGGGTCATGGCACACCCACGTTGACCCCGATAAATGACGGCACTGATTCCTCTACTCAAAGGAAGTCAAGCTACCGTGTATCGGTGATGATTGGTGGGTGCCACCACTCATGGCCTTAATATGTGTTCTGGTGGATCGTGGGAACCACTCCAGGCTTCAGCGCTGAACTGAAAGAAGTACCACCCCTCTCTCCCACAGAAAAAGGAGCACGTTGCGGTCCATGGAGAAGACCCCACGTTGCTGAAAGCACAGTGAAGAAAACATTCCATCGCCCACGCTCGACGGTTGCGCTGTTCAAAGCCTCCGGGAGTCTTCGGGTACGTTGAGTCACACCTGTACCTCCCCGCTTTGGGTCATCGAGAATTTGGTGTTTTTCTTCTCTGAAGTCGCCATTGAAGAATCCACAATCAACTGCCATTCAACCAGTTGAACTCAACAAATGACTTGGATTCAACCATGGGGTAGGGTGAACTGGATTTAATCCACCCGGTCAGACCGCCGTGGACTTCGACTCCAGACCGCGTTGCCCCCGCCTCAGGCAGCTTGAGCGCCTGGACGCGCGCAGCGGCAGAGGTGGGGAAGACACATGCGCCGCTCGGCTAAAAGAGGTAAAGAGGTGGGATAGGGCGGGTGGGCTCGCAGACGGCCTAGCAGACGGCCTCGCAGATCGTTTGTTTTTTCCCCAGATAGCGAAGCTATGGGTTTCTTACTTCAAATAACAATGAGTTGCCCGTGCGCGTTTTCGAGACAGGTTGCTGGTGCTGGGTGCCAGTGTTGGTGCTGGTGCTGTGAGCTCCTGTGCACATGGTGGAGACAGGTTGCTGGTGCTGGTGCCGGGTGGCGGTGCTGGTGCTGGTGCTGTGAGCTGGCTGTGCACGTGGTGGAGACAGGTTGCTGGTGCTGGGTGGCGCGTGCCGGCGCTAGTGCTGGTGCTGTGCGGTGCCGGTGCTGGGTGCCGGGCGCCGGTGCGGGTGCTGTGCTGTGAACTGGCTAGGTTGGCTAGGTTGGCGGTGGTGCCGGGTGCCGGAGCCGGGCGCTGGTGCGGGTGCTGGTGGGTGCCGGTGCTGGTGCTGGTGCTGTGAGCTGGCTGTGCACGTGGTGGAGACAGGTATATCTAAGGACATCTAAGGACGACTTACATATTATGCATTGCTAGGCATTCTTGGAGGGCTGTTGTCAATCTCATCGTCACCTCAACACCTACGGTGTTTGCAGGACTTGAAGCCACTCCTGCGTTTCCCTATGACTTCCCGATGAAAAGGGCTCCGTCGGAAGGGGCCAGGATTAGAAGCATCGGTGGCCTTGTACCGACTAGGTGGGTTGGTTTGTTTGGTTGGTAGATAGAGCTGGTAGAGGAGATACACCCAAGTGTGTCAAAAAGGTTCCTGTGTATGCTTTGGACCTGCTGACATTGCAGGGCGCTGTCCAATTCCCCAGATAGTGAAGCTATGGGGTTCTTAACAATGAGTTGCCCGTGCGCATTTTCGTTACAGGTTGCTGGTGCTGGTGCTGGGTGCTGGTGTTGGTGCTGGTGCTGTGAGCTGGCTGTGCACGTGGTGGAGACAGGTTGCATGTTTTTGCTGTCTGGGGTCTATGCTGGTGTAATTCTTTTGCCTGGTGCTTGAAATTCTTGACTCGGATCTGTGGTCAGTATGATATGGATGGGGCTATTTCAGAAGGTACTGTATATAGTATATAATTACACATGTATGTATGTATATATATATACACACATGATTCGGAGACACTGCAGTCAGTTCCCCACACCCATACTTTGGCAGGGTGGCTCCCCACACCAAGACCTGTTTGAAGAACCTCCTGTGCCCTGGAGCTTGTGAGCTTGCGAGCTCCTGTGCTTCTCCCAGTGGCCCACGTAGCTGAGGTGGGACATGTCTTTGGCACTGCTGGGCCAAGCACCACGTACCACCTGGGATGCCACGGCCTGGGAGGCGCAACGTGAGCCGCCACGAGCCGAGTCGAGCCTCCGGAGTCTCCGGGGTTGTCAGTCCGGAGTCCGGGCGATCCTCTGGCCGCAAGAATCACCAGCGTTTTCCAACTTCATCATCTTCCAACCCCCTGTACTAAACTTACGTCTGTCAGACCCCTTTTTCTAGAATATTTCGCCACCAGACTGGTGGACATAAATACTAAACCAAACCCAAAACCAAACTCTTCATCTTCCAAACCCCGCTACCTCACCCTTCCAGTCTTTCGGGCGCTGACGTCACGACGTCATGCGGGCCGTGGGACGGCGCGGTCAGGTGTTGCTGCAGGCGGCCACCGAGGCGCAGCAGTGGCAGCTAGCCTTGTCGTTGCTGGAGGCGCAGCTGGCTGGCCGCCATTGGGGATAGGGCCCCATGCAGCGGATCTGGATGCCATGGAATGAACATAATGAACTCTATTATTACTTTAATATTATTATTTTTACATTGTTATTCTTATTTTTATTATTATTATTACTACTATTGTTACTTTACTATTTTTTTCGAGCCTTTTGTCATCAGGACCTGAAGGTGATGAAGAACCGTTCGGTTTGGTTCGGTGCATTCATTTCTTCTGTGGATGCGTTGTTTTAGTTTTTATCAAAGACACGAGGTGGTAACCCACGAAAGATGTGCAACATGGGTGCGGCTCAGTTTCAAGAGCTCCTCGTGTCACAAAAGAAGGACACTGAAAGAAACTTACTCCTGCAGTCACAAGACGGGGTGCTATCCATGGAGGAAGCCGGGGTGCCCAGAACCTCCACTCACGTAAGGGGACGAGCCACACCACCCCGTCTGACGTGACTCCTGGCTGCAACCTCGCTGGGTGACACCACCTCCGTGACTGCATCCCCAGCACCTCCGTGAAGAATGACGAACGACCACACCTGGGAGTCATCGACCTGCAGGGTGGGGTGAGTCATGAGTCATGAGTCATGATGAGACGACTCTCCGGGGGAGTTGTTCAGAAACGGACATGATTGCACGAAAAACCGAGTGTTCCTGTCAACTCAGTGTGTTCCTTCCAGAGTGTGGGGTTGTGTTCGCAGAAGATTGAAGATACACCCATGCTTTCGCGTTCGCACCGAGCTTTCCGTGGAGATGGGAGAGGATTTGTCCTTCAGTGAAGGCCGTTGGTGCCGGAACTGACCCATCGCTCGCCTTCTTCAGGAGAGCGGCGGCCGTTCCGGCACGGCCTACGCGTTGGCGGCCGAGGTGGCAACAAGGGGGTGGGGTGGCAACAGCAAAAGCGTTTCCAGAGGCGGTTCCAGGGTATTTAAAGTCCTGTGAAGGCTGAAATCCTTAGAAGAAGGGATGATGTCCAAAGATCAAAACAAAACAAAACAAGTCCAACGGCTCAGATCAGTGTCGGTGTTTGACATTCTTGTGGCATGCAGTATGGTATGGCTGGTATGGCTATATAAGCTTTCATCATTGTCTGAGGGAGGTGCAACAAAGATCTGGAAAACACTTCGGCCATTTGGTTTGTCGGCGCTGCTATGAACACTCACATTCTTTTGACATGCCATGCATGAGTTGATATGGACTCAAGGGATGAAGATAAACAGCCCCCCCCCCAAGATGCACTTAAATCGACAGGTGTTTGTTTTCGACAGGTCTTGCTCCGCCAAGGGGTGCTGCTGAGCTTTCATAATTTTCTGAGGGAGCCTCGACTCATCCACACGTTACAAATAAACGTTTGGTTGTGTTTGTTGATGGAGCCTGGTCTCGTCTACCTTCCAACTTGCTTCAGCAAGAGGGCAAAGGTCATGGTTCTCTCTGTAGAGGTCTGACTACTGTGGGAAGGATGGATGAGGATGGATGGTCCTTGTGAACTTCTTTCGTTTGACCTCGGCGACGCCCGGTTGTGATTGGAGGTCCATCGGGCTCGTGATGCTGAAGCCATCGAGCCTTCACAGACAGACCACTTCTCTTCACAAAGTCACATCATCGGTGGATCGTAAGCCCTGCGACGTTCCCATTTCCCATTGAACTGTTTCCCGTCCGACCAAGTCACGGAATCGCTCGCGAAAGTTTGTTGCGAGCAGTGCTGAAGCAGTTGCTGGAGCTAAACACGCCCCCCCCACCTGGGGGCCCTCCGAAAGCTCCCGCGCGGCAGGCCGCCCTCCGGGCACGCCGCGTCGACGTGGCGTCGCCTGGAGAACGGGAAGAGGCGACAGGAGGCGACGGGACACTTCACTTTCTTTTCGGAAAAAACCACGGGAATGCCCTGAATCGAGCTCTTCAAGAAGACGAACACCATGCCCGTGTTCGGCAAGTGCTTGCTGTGAGCATGCATCAACGCGGTGGCGGCGGCCACCCGGGTGGTTGTGAGGGGTGGGGTTGGCAAGAACCGAGAGATTCATCAGACGTTGGGCAACGGAGTGGGTCGTCGGCGGGAACTTTTTTCTTCTTTTTTTTCCTTCGCGAAGACAAGGGCGGTCAGGCAGTTTCTGACAGTTCTGGGTCGCAGGTCCCAGAAACAGGTCGCAACTATGAAGGATCTATATAATAATATATAATAAGAATGTAAATCATATAATGACAATATTTGGATCTACTTAGGTACTTCGCAAAGGTCCAAGGTCCAAGATCTTGTGCGTCAGGTAGTTTGATTCGTGTGGATTCACGATCATTACTGTATATTTATTTCACGGCCCAAAATGGCCATCCCAAAGTTCCTGAAGCTTCCAGTACATGGCCCCCTATTAGCTATTCCATGCAATTCCTCAATAATTTTCAACATCTGAATTTTCTGGTTGAGAAGACGGTGAGCTCCTCCATCTCGAGGGGATGCTGAGCATGCAGCATCCTCTCAGTGTGTTGGAAATCACCGCAGCCTCTCCACGTCGCTTCAATGAGGTCAGAGCTCTTTAACGCCGTCGCGGCGGGTGCGCACGAGCGTGCACTCACGCGGCTGGTGGTGAGTGCGTCTCTGGGCGGAGTGTTGGGCGGTGGCGGGCAGTGAATGGTGGGAGAAGTGCCATTGGAACACCTGGAGACCCGTCTAGGCGAGTTTGCCAGGTCCTTCATCGGCGATCTGCAACGCAGATTTCCTCCAGATGTGGATTGCAAGACCTTGGGTTGACATATAGTCAAGAGTCTACATTCTTGGTCGATTCAGCTGCTGCTCTTCCGCAGGCGAACCCCTCGATCCCCAGCCGGTGCAGTGGATCGATCCTTCCGGTTGGATCCTCTACCGGCAGATCCCTTTTTTTCGGATCAGTCCGAGAATTCCTGCAACAACTTCTGTTGAACACTTGTGCGAGCTGCTAGCCGTTGTGTTTCACTGGGCGACGATCCACTATGTCTCAGCAGATTTGACTTGTGGTGCTCAGTCGTGCCTAGTGTCAAGATTTTGCTAGGACGGATTTGTTTGAAATTCCCTTAAAGAACTATTCCAGGATGCATCCTTTAATAAGGCATCCTTTGAGAGATTTGTCGGTTCTATTTTTTCAGATCACCGCCGTGGCCGCTGTGCTGGTCAACCGACTGCCCATGCTGAGCTTTTGGAGCTCCATTTTCAATTCCTGGGATTTCAAGACAGCGCTCATAGCAGGGACTGAGGAGATTTAATCTGGAGTTGTTGTTGGATGCCTTGCCGCTCGTCCAAACCAATGGGGTTTCCTCATTTCAAAGAAAAAAAACAGGTGTCCAACTGCTTCAAAACAGGATGGCCAGCATTCTTCCTGCCCAAAGGTGACTCGCTCCACCGTTGTCATTTTTGACTCGGACATACTCGGACCAGCCCTGAGGCCATCTGTTGGTGACCTGCCCTGGCAATGGGCACTCTTCATCTTGGAGAGGATGGAGGGTCACCAGGCGCATGGCTTGGCCCGAAAACGGCGCAGCGGTGCGCAGCGGTGCAGGGAAAAATGGCCAAGGGTTCCCCAAGTCAGTAATTCTTCATACTGAGGCGCTATTTTGAGAGTTTGACTCACCAGCAGTAGGATCCTGTTTTTTGGACGGTCAAAACCACCGGTCTTTCGACATGGATGCATTCTGAGCTGCCGCTGACCACCAGGTGCCGCTGACCACGTGCAATGCGATGATCAGTGCTCCTGGGACTTGGGAGAACTTCAGTGCGAAAACCAGGTCCGTCAGGTGCAGAATTGTTCACCAAGGTCTTAAGGTCTTAGTGACTTACGTAGTGCCCACCAGCCGTCCAGACACCTCCATCGCTTTTTTTTTCACCGTTTGCGAGGGACCCAACCGGAAGTGATGAATGCAGATCGGAGCTGCTATGGATCCATGAAATAAGGAGGCTTAACACTGAAATAGGAGATCAAGTGTAGCAAGCGCACGTGGCCTTTTTACACATAAAGGGCTTCTGGCCAAGGATTCCTGAGCTATCATGTCGTTCTTCAGATCAGGGCTTGCATCTTTCCCAAAGCACAGGAGCATTTCCATCCTACTTTTGAGGCTAAAGTCCATCACTGCAGTTAGCCGCAGTCAGCTGCGTCAGTGCCGTGGAGCATGCAAATTCAGTATTATGAATCCATCTGGTGATGAGAAATCTCATGTCCCTGCCCAGTGGTCGCTCCATTGCTTTGTCAGCACCAGCCAGCTCCAGTGTCCTTGAGTTCAAGACTGCTACCAAGCAGTCCTTCAAACTGCAGTTCTTGGAGCTGATCCGCACAAATGGATGCAAGCTCAGTGATCCTTGCAGGATGCTGGGCTTGTTGATGGGGACGTTTTGACAGCCATAGTTCAAATGCCACAAATAGCAACATATCACACAGCGTTTGCACTGTGCTGCTGTGGCAGTGTAGTTGCCTGGGGCGCTCCACAATCTGGTGGCGACAGTCGTGCAGTCCAAGATCAGCTGAGAAACGTGCAGCAGATTCAAGAATGCCTTTGCCGCGATTTGAGCAGATGGGTTTGTGGTTAGCTGGGGTGATCTGGGTCTGTGTGCGCTGACAGCAGTGCGGTCCAAAATCAAGTGAAAGATGTGCGTTCGCTGCCGGCAGATGACCGTGACCTGGTGACCTGGGCCGATCCAGAGGCTGGCGGTGCTCGCGCAGCCTGGTCCGAGATAAGCTGAAAGAGCTGCAGCAGATTCAAGCTTCCAACACGGCCTTCACTGCCATTTTGGCAGATGGGTCTGTTGCAACCTGGGGAGATCAGTATGGTGGTGGTGACAGACTCCTTTCATCCCAGATCCGACAAGGGAGGATGTTTCGACTGTTTTGACTATGTGTGTGATGGTTGAGACCGGGAAGTGAACGGCGCCCAGAGGCTGGCGATTTCGCCGATGCTTTGTGTCGCTGTAAGAACTATCTGCTGTAAGAACTGATCCATCCGAGAAAGGGTGGACACAGTGGGATTTCTGGACGCATCTGGACGCACCAAGCTTCAACAAGTGGAGGTTTGTTGGACCCTGAAGCGGCTTCAGCTCCTGAAAGCAAAAATGAAGGGTGAACCCTCTGAACGACTCATCTTAACAGTGAATGACTGTTCAATCCACTGTATTTGGAGATTGTTGAGAAGAGTTGTCTCCACTCAATATGGGCTTCAAATTCTTCCCACCTTCCAGAAGACATCCCGACATGGGCTCGACCACTTCTTGCTTTCCGGGAGCTGCAGCAGTGCAGCCTCGACCTCTATTGACCCAATGATTTGAGGGAGTTTGCATTTGCTTGGACCACTTGGGTCAAGGACGTCCGGGACACCAAAACCCAAACCAACGTTCTCCAAATGCTCCAAGTATGTCACCATCCTCTGGTTATATCTATCAGACATCTAAAACATGGGGCTCCCCCTGACCTCAAAACAAGGGGTGTTTGATCGGTGTTTCTGTGTGGTCACATCGCTCAGGTTTTTGCGAGATCTGGCCATTGGCAGAGGGTTTGGATTCCCGAGCTGTCTGGATCGGCCTCGGGAGACCAAGCTGATCGCGTGGCGTCCAGCCGGTCTAGGACACGTCCAGGGCTCCGGTGCCTGGAAGATGGGGTGAAGTCCTTGGGCTTTTGGGGCGAAACCTGGTTTTTGTTGGACCTTTTGACAGCCTTCGGTCTTGCCGGTAGCAAATCAAGCCGTTTTGGTGTGACATCAAGCAGACTCCAGAAGTATGAGTATGAGAGAGTTCTTTTAATATTCAGATGCCTCAGTTGCTGGCTGTTCCTCTTGGGCATGGTGCCATGAAGCACTGGCATGACCTTTAGATTCCCGAGTGCGGCCTCTCTCAGAGTGGTACCAAAGTAGGCCATTCACCAGCAGCTTCGTTCCAACAACCAGAACTTCCAGACTCGAGACAGAAAATCGTCCAACTCATTGGGAGACCTCTGGGAGACATTTTGGGTGCGATGAACCGTGCTGGAGAAATCATGTGGTTGCTCTGGTTCATGGACAACCCCCCAGCAACCGAAGCTTGATCATACTCACAAATCTCCTTCTCAGTTGTGAGTGGTGTGCGTCACCCAGCTTGGCCCCACCCGAAGGCTTTGGACGTGCTCTACCGCATGTGGAAAGGCGCTGCGTGTTCTTGCGTTTGACCAGGGCTGTTGGTCTGACCAGGGCTTGAATGGCTGCACCAACCCCGGAAACCTTGGCAGCCGGATAGAATCACTGGCAGCCTGGGACTACCTTGCCACCAGTTAACATCCTGGTACCCAGGGTGTTGGTCATCACTTCGGAACTTATGGCTTCTTCACTTCACTCTCCGTCACGCCTTCGCGGGCCGCTGCTGGCCCGCGAGACGGCACCGTGGTGAAAGCATGGCTTTGCTGGGCCACCTTTCGCAAGAATTGGAGAACACTTTCTTGTGAGGTGAACTAGCAGCTAGTTACTATAGCTATCAGATAAGAGCATGGAACTGGTAATTTCTTTCTCATACCTGCCATCTTCGGATGTTGGAGTTCTGCAGACCATCATGTGCCTCCAAAGGGGTCGCACTTCCCGCCCTTTCCGTCCACCAAGTCTCAAGGCTTCGGTAAAACTTCGCGTGCCTTCGTGGAGTCCACACACCAACTGGGGGCCGCCGAGTGCGCCTGGCCTTCGCGTGATGCGAACTCGGGAAGGTGAACCTGGTCTAGCTCAGCCTGATGCGATCAGTGTAGATCTCAGTGCTGTCTTTTTTTGGCTTTTTGGCCTCTTCAAGCAATTCGGAAGACGAGGAGAACGGGTCTGGCGTGAGACCAGGACCCATGAAGATCACAAGTGCGGCAGTAGAACTATTCGGTGTGTCATTCTTCTGCCACCCAAACACGCCGAAAAAGCGACACCTCTTTCACCCTCCACGGCTCTCCCGGAAGCCGAAAACGCGAGGTTTCAATGGGGCACTGAATGCCCTCGAGCGGCAAGCGCGTCCCGCGCGGGCGGACAGGCGACCGAAGCGGAGGGCCGACCGGGGAGAGAAGAGGTTCGGTGTTGAGGTGAACCACAGGGCAGTTGGGCGGACCACAGTGCATCACGGTGCCTAGTCTTATGTCTTATGTCCTGTTTTTCGGCTTTGAAAGGCTTTGGACCCTGGTGCTGGAGGGTTAGAGAATCAGTGGGTCCAATGAAAGAGGGGTAGGAATATTAAGATATAAAGGATTAAGCCGGGTTTCATCAATGAACCACCCAATTTCAATGAACCAGGTAATCATGTCCACTACAATACGTGCTTTTTGTGTGGAGTACCTCTAGCAAAAAGGGAGGTTTCACCCTCCACCTTCCCACTCCGCAGGCTCTTGAGGCAAATGCTGCGCCTGCGGCGGCAGCCGGACGTCAACAGCTGCTGGGCGTGGTTGGGGGAAGGTTGGCGATGTTAAATGTGAATGATAGAAAGGGTCCGAAAGGGTCTCTCGTTTTCGCTGTGCCACTTAAAGTCTGATTCGTTTTCATGATGAACAGCAAAGAAAGCATCTCCCAAGAGCATTGAAGCTACATCTTTGGAGCAATCTTCGGCATCTGCTTCGGTCTCCCTTCTTGAAGCACTCCCCTTTGCCACTTGCTTGAGAACCTTGTATGTTCAGAGGCTTTACGAGCTTGGCGGCGGCTCATGGGCGGACCACAGGCGCTCTTTGGGGACTGGCCGAGTTGGTGTGGAAGCAGCGAGAGGATTTGCTGCACCCAACCCCCCACCCGGAGCCTGCCTTGATGACTCGCTGCTGGATAAAGGTCGCCCACCGCACACCTCTTCAGCTGTCGAAAAGGGACCTGAAGTCAAACCAGTCCACCCCAGAAGAAGATCATCTGCAAGAGGAGCTCATCCTTTTCCCCGAACTTGCGTCATCCTTCCAAGTCCTGAAACCTAACTTGCAGAATGGCCATGAGGCCTCATGCAATCGGCAGGATGGAGCACGGAACAGTTCAATCAGAACATTGAATTTGGTTTCAGTCTCATTGAGTTTAGTTGTGTCTACTGTCTCCTATTTCAAGAGTCCTTGGTGACTGGTCTTGAGGCCTCTACCAAGCCAGCAGAGCTCCTGTCATGACAAAAGCACCCCCAGTGCCCCATGGATTCTGATCCCATCCCCCCTGGTCTACTTGAGGATGACCTCTGTTCCTCCCCCCCACCCGAGTGATCGTCCAAGACTGCGATCGCCCAAGGACAGGTCCTTAAAACCCACTGGAGTTTGAAAGTGCCTGGCAGTGCCTGAGCCTTCATCAACCCAAACCCAGACACGACTAATGGCACTAGAATATATGCCGCCCCCCCCTGTCTCCCCTCCCAATGACACCCCTGGCCTGATCGGCTTGCCTATGGTCGTGCCAGTCCGTGAGTCCGCCGAACCCATTCAATTAAGTAGGACCGTGACCCATCCAACCTCGTCAGGCTGGAAGAAGTCGCTGAACCTCTTCGCTCACGTGGTTGCTCGGGACCTGCGACCGGACGAGGCGCGGGGCAGACGGGGCGGACGAGGCGGACGAGGCGGCACGGGGCGTGAGGTTCCGACCCCGGCGTTCGGGGCGGTTCTCAGAAAAAGCGACCCGGCTGGGAGACGTGTTGAAATCCATGACGTTGAAGCGAGGTGATTCTGCTGATGAAAGAGACGACTTTGGGCATGTCACGGACGAGGTGGACGGGAGTTCTTTCAGAAATCCAACGATTGAAGATAGCAGAAAGCTCTCTGCTTCCTTGTCTTGCCAACGGGTGGGATCGTGTATTAATGGAGGCCAGCCGCATCATCACTTTGGTTTCGCACAGATCGATTCCCAGGAAAATAGGAAACCATCACATATGTTCACATCAAATAGAATAATAAGTGGATTCCAAACAACACCTACCAGGGCCTTCTTTTCGGGGTGTCTATTGATAGCCCCCGACAAGAGGTGAACCAAAGGGATCTCCATTGACCTGCGGGTCCTGGTAGGAGTGCGTGTTCCTCTCTTTTTGGCCCTCTGACCGCCCTAAAAAGCCACACCTAAGCAGCTACTGTGACGCGGACGGCGCACAAAGGCAGAAATTGCCAGTACGCGAGCGCAGTCCAGGCCCTTCTGGTGGGGATCAGCTCGGCCTGTGGCAACCAGGGCTTTGACAAAGAAGCGGAGCTTCTTGGGTTGCATCTGCGGCGCGGAGCCCGGTTGATTCATTGGAAGGGTAATATAAGTGCACATCATTTTTTTTGACTTTTGCCGGACGCCCTACCATGGGCCTTCCTATCGCCTTTGTAACCCTCCCAAATGAGTCAAGACCATGGGCCTTCGGAAGAGAACTCCCGGAGCGGTTGGAAGACGGGCGAAGCGGTGGGTGACCTGACTGAGACGATGGTGGAAGCATCATGAAGCTGTTGGGTAAGCTCTGCAGAGTCTCTTCTGAGATTCAAGTACTTCATAGTACTTCAGTCTCATTGTGAATAGGAAGTGGAAAATCAGCCAGACTATGACTAAATACATCTAAATACAGGGCGGGCTTCCGTTCTTCCCCCACCGAGGCTGCTGGGTGAGCCGCAGCCCTGGGAGCGAGCAGAGCTGCTGCTGGAGCAGCAGCGGGCGAGATTTTTCGGCCTCTGGCGCGCTCGGCTCTACGGTCAGCGCCCGAAGCGGTCCTCTTCTCCGCGTGTAGAAGCACAAGCGGAAACCAACAGGGACCAGGGAGGAACATAGTGGCGGGTCAGATCTGGCGTCGAGGGACACTCTTTGCAGCGCCTTGAGAAGAGGAAACAGACTAGAACCTGGCCTCCTCAGCTTCGAAGCTTTCAATGCGTTCTTGCTTACGTAGGTGAATCAGACTGAAGGTACACTGCTTGCAGAAACTTGAAAACTTCTCTACAAGGTCCTGAGGCTTTAGTGAGTTCAGCAAAGTTACATCTCGGGATGAATCCACAGGAATCCTGGAAAATTGGTCATGCTCAGCACCAAGACCAGAACACGGTATAACACGGCAACATTTCCCGGTCACATCGCCGGTTTTTCTCCAACGTTCCCGGTCACCGGGTTCCCCGGTGACTCTGCCGGTGACCGGAAGGAACGAACGGACCGAGGCGACTCTGCCATGACGAGCCTCAGCAATGGCCTGGTGAAAGGCGGCGCCGGAGTGGGGGGGGGCTGGAGACGTGGCAGAAGGAAGTTACTGTGAATTCTTGCTTTTATATGTTTTCTTCTTTTTCGATGTCTTTTGGGATCCTCTTAAACCATGTTTTATGTTTTTATTCTTGGTCATTTCTTCCTTCCACTTGCTTTCACTAGGCTACAGCTACGGATGTGCACCTTCCCTTAAACTTGTATTCTGTCAAGTATGAAAGGTTATTTACCAAGGCAGCAGCTCTGTACTTGATTGTTTGTTAAGAAACATTCGTGGTCAGCACATTTCACATTTTAGTTGTTTCCACTGCTTTCATACTTTCCATGCAGCACATGCACGGGGTGCAAATGAGCAGCTGATGTCATCATTTCATGATCCTGACAATTCTACACCTTGAGCTTGGCAAACCGGGATTGCCACACTTCCAAAAGGTGCATATCTAGACTCACACGGCTTGTAACACCTGTGTGTGACTTGAGAGCATCTGACTGAGAAATTCTGTTGGCCATGTGACAGACATAGGGCCCGCTCCTAAAGTAGAGCTCCACAAAATCTCTCTAGCATCTACCTTCATTGCAACCAAGTGTTGGCAGCAAAACAGTCTACAGCAGAATCAGTGCAATCTGCATCGGACGTCAACTATGCCTTGGGCTCCTGAATCTCTGTGCGCAAAGACGTGTTCCGCGCACAGTGGGCAATGCACAACCCTCCACCTATTCCACAACAAGTCTCCTCCTTTCCAAACCCCACCCCTCCAGCTATTACATCTTTCAGTTTTGCCTTGGCTCCACACACCATCCATGGAACCATTGACTTGGACGAGGAGTACACAAGCCCAATCCCTTTCTGCAATGAAGAGCAGGAGGGAGAGGAGGAGCAGGCTGAGGACGCTCAGCCTGCCCAGCAAGGAGTGCCAACACCCCATGATGCCTACGCGGCATCTGAAACACTTGGCATTTCCTTAAAAGGTCTGACCACAGAACCTATGAGCAGATGGGAGGAATTCCTTCGCAGGGTTTACCGCTCAGCATCAAAAGCCGCCCACCCAGATTGTGGGGGCTCAGCTGCGGCTTTTCAAAAGCTGAGCAGGGCCCCAGCATTGTGGAGAGGTGGCTCGCTGACACGGGCGAGTCATGGAAGGTCTTTTTCGGAGACAAGATGGTGTGTGAGTGCATGCAGTGCCTGATTTTCTTTGGGAAGATGCGGCCGTGTCCTGCGTGCATCAGCACGGATTCGAGGCAAGGCCACTTGAAGACATGCCCACTCCCGCAATACGGGTTGCGAAACCGCAATACGGCTTCAAGAACCCTCTATTGGGCCACGTACTTGGAAGAAACGGTGGCCAAAGCGGCACCCTTGGCGGAGAGGACGAAGAGGAGGCAGTCATGGATGGAGGCCAAGCTCCTGGCAGCGGAGGAGCGAGCGGCCAAAGAGGACTTCAACGGTCCGCCCATCGCTGCAAGCGCGGCAGGAGTTGGAGCAGAAAATGGGCGGAAGATGGTAAAACAAAACGCCAGCCCAATTCAATTCCAACAGGTCCAGCTCAAGTTTCGCCACATGGCTACCTATCCAGATATACGCAGTTTGGTTACAACTCCTTGGTAGCATTCCTTTGGTTCCCATGCTGTTCAGGAACACGTGTATTTTTAACTTGCGGTTGCCCAAGCACCCCTGAACATGCGCAGCAAGCATTGGCATTCAACACCATGCACCTATGGCAGCTTTTGTTCCTTGTATTTTGCTGATCTTTTCTAACCACATGCCAACGAACTTTGCCATAAGGTCATCAGCCCAGAGCACCTCCCCAACCAACAAACTGCTCAAAAGATGAGAGCTGTGCCAATATTGTAGAACCGACCAACTGCACGTAAAAGCGGCACATGTCCGCATGCCAGCTGCGGAAATCACACGCAAGTAAGCAGAAGAAAACCAGATTTAATCGGGATTCCGGTCAATATCAACTTGGAACAAAGACTCTCCGCTCGATGATCGAACGTCTTCAAACCACCACCCAAACCTCTGGAAACAAGAGGCAGATTGAACCAAACACAGAGAAACATATCACCGAACAATTTCACCGCGCACTTGACCGGGCCGGCAGTGGCGGCGGGGACCACGACAGCTCCAAAGTTCCCGTTCAAATAGCCACATGACACATCCAGGTCCAGCCCCAAAGACCTATCAAAAACTTCACTAAAACACTCACCTCTTCTGCCGGTGTTCCACCATGTTCCACCCATCCGGTCACCACCCGAGCTACCCAGTCTGACCCAGTCTGACGACCTAGTTGGAGCCGCGGAACCGGGAGGGTTCCCAGGCTTCCAGTGGGCACGTGCCTTGGACTCCTTGGAGGCCGGAGATGGGCGTTGGCGGAGCGCCGTCGGTCGGGGACCGAGCAGTAGTTGTAAGGGAAGTCCTGGGAAGCTGACTGCAGACTGGGAAGGATAGGGTGGATCCTACTCTGATCTAGGATTCACGAATCTTGCCAGGTTTTCAGGTCGATAGTCAGGTCACGTGAGAAGTTCAAAGCACAGGTTATATAGTCATCATCACACCAGAGAACTTGAGCTTTGCTGAACATTCCAAGATCGCTAAGATGGATTGGGGTTGTGTGTGGAATATGCGAACACACATACACACTGGAGGTGGTCCTGAACCGCTCTATCCAGCACGTATAGGCATCCGTGGAAGGTCCACGTTTACGTGAAAAACATCCCTTAAGAGCGACAGAAGGCGTTCTGCTGGGTATCAAAGCATGCGAAACGGGTGATGAATATTCCTCAACTACCAGGAGTCACAAAGGGGTGGTGTTTAGTCTCCAAGTGACTGGACAAATGGGCACCCCTAACCTCCATTAAGCACCCTTTGGAACTGCTGGTAGAGCGTTCTGCTCATTTTCAGAGTAGCATTCATGGATCAGCAGTCTTCACTGGTCCTGGTTGAGGAGTTCACGATGCCCCTATCACCAGGAGGGCTCCAACAGAAGTTGCTCTTGGGAAGGGACAGATGGACATGGAATCCATCAGCGCCAAAGGAAGCATTGAGTCTCGATGGATGCCTGTTTGTTTTATAAGTCCACGTGTTCGGTTTGTCTGTTCCACATGTGTTGAGTGCTTGGTCTAGTTGCTGGCCAGAACTTTGACCGGCATTGTCCCATCCATGCCCCAATCCATCCCAATCCTGGTCGAGCCTCGAACCGAACCGACCAGTAATGTAGACGGGACCGATGATGTTTCACCCCAGACATGGATGCGCTTAAAGCTCTGAAGAGGCTTCGGGGGGATTGTTTGATGAATCAAGGGCCTGCCAATCATCAACCCAAACTGAAGTTCCACGAAATTGACCCACCCAAACCCTGTTCAGTCCCTGAACCGAACCCCCCAAAACCACTGCCGTCACCCGACCAGGTGGCCAAGCAGAGGGACCTGCTTAGCATGAAATCGTGTGGGTCCGGGCCTCACCACCAGCTCTGCGGGGACCGGGGGCTCTGCGGCGAGATCGGAGCGTGACATCACTGGCTGGGGTGAAATTGGAAGGTTGTGTTCAGCAGGTGTCATGTGTTGTCATGCCTGCGCTTCAAAGGGCCACGATCCTGTTGGACCGGCCTTTCACCACCATTTCTCATGTCCAGGGTCCGGACCGTCGTTTCGGCCATCCTCGATCTGGCACCGGTCCGGGCAGCCCGGGACGAGTGGCATCCAAGCCCAGCCTTCAGTCATCAACCAGTCTTCGACTGGCTCGATGCACAGCTCGAAGCTGTGGCAGCTCGAAGCTGTGGCCAGATGAGCCGCAGGTTGGAGTCTTCCTGCCTTTCCTACCGATTGAGCAGATGGATTTGTCTTTGCCTGGGGCGATACGTTTCAACAGCAGGAATGTGCTGGATGATTTGACCTTCGCTGTTTTGTTGGCTGAGTGCTTTGCACTTTGCAACATGGCTTCTGTGATTTGCAGTGGAGAGCCGTGCTGACCACGTAGGGTGGTGTTTGATGTTGAAACTGATCCGGCAACACAACAACAAATGCCTTTGGAATGCCCCATGGATGCCCCACCGTCAAGCACCCTTTCTTGAGGCAGACCATGGAATTGGTCCCTTTCATTGCCATGGCCCGTAGCAGTTTTGACTCAAAATCCTCTGCAGAGGATAGAGCCATCGATGCAAGGGGTCAACATGGAGGTGGGTCACAAGTTTGGACGTTTCACATGTCCAAACTTTGGACTCTGGTTTGCCCCCCCCCCGTTTCTTTTCACCGACTCCGCCCGCCGTGGAGTGAAGGAGTCCCTAAAAGCGGCCAGATCTGCTCGTCCGGACGTTCGACCCGACGGTTCACGGCCGCCGTTGGACCCCGGCGGTCTCCCCCAGGGCCGTGCTCTCCGCGGCGCGGCACGCGGAGCGGTCGTGGGAAGTGGCCGCTGGGCTCCTGGAGGACGCGGAGCCACGGCGAGTTCGGTCGTTCGGCGCGGTCGGCACCGGGGTCGAGTCCGGGTCACGTCTGTTCAGCCAGTGATCGAGTGATCGAGGGGTCGAAGGAGGGTCGATTCATGAGCCAGTTCTATCAAGTTCTTGACCGGAGATGTTGGATGGCTTTGGCTGGGTATTTTCTACCAGAAAAACCAGACCCTTCACCATCGTGATGCATCGTTTTACTTACTCTCTCGAGGTTTTGCTCGTGTGGCTGTGTCAAAAGGGATTTAAATGAGTTGGCGCAAGTCGAATTTGAAAGACCTTGCCAAGACCATTGAAAGAAAAGCTGCCCCAGTCTTTGTAGTCTAGAGTCTAGAGTCTAGAATCTAGAATCCCCAATATTGGTTCTTTAGCAATGGCACCAGTAAACAAAACAACGATCAGCCAGGAATCCTAGCGTATGGACAAGGTCGCCTTCCAGCACTTACCAAGGATGGACATTGCTGTCAATCTTCGGCGCTGGGTCATCCAGTTGTCTTCCCAGTGGGATTTGGGATCTTCCTGCCTCACTGTATGCCCATCCGGTCCTGTTTCCAACGCCGGTCTCCGCCCGTGTCCATCCTCAAGTTGCTCAACGAAGACCCTCTTCCCATGGCTCGGGCGCCATGGCGCCCCACGACCGAGACCACGAGGCCGACGGCCTCGACGCGTGGGATCTGCTCGAGCCGCCCTCGCGGCGCGCGCTGCGGAACCGCAAGAGGCGCCGGAAGGCGGCGGCGGTTCGGAGGCAAAGAGCTTCGTTGAGGTTGGGCAGCTTGGTGACGTTCTGTAGGCAAGTCCAGACTTGCAGTCTCCGCTGATGTTTGGAAGCCAAACGAATGATGCGGGTGAAGTTCTCTTTGTTCTTTTCCTGATTGTCGGCCTCATCAGTCCAGAGAAGTGCATCTAAGGCCTGGTCTGCAAGATCCTGCTGGCGTGTCATGGCGAACAACTTCCCTGACTTCTATCGATCATATCGATCATTGTTGTTCAATCATGTTCACTTTCGCTCACAGAGCCGTTGTTTTCCTTTCAGAACAAGAGCGTTCGTGGCCCCTGTGCCCCGACAAGCTCAGTGCTTCGAGGATGGAAGCCGGCGAAAGCCGTTGTTCCGGATGCCGACGGTAGGGACCGATGGGATGTTCCCGAAAAACAGCCCACAGAACTTCGACGAAGTTCGGGCGATGTGAGCACCTAAGAGTTCCCTGATTAAAAAAACACCTTGAGCCGTATAGTGACTTCGTGTGCTTCCACTGACCGGATGTTTCGGAGGAAACCGCCCCAGGGCCGGCCCGCGAGGTTGCGCCGTTGGCAACGGAGAACGGCGTGCCGGGTGGAACGCCAGCGGTACGGCGGAGAGGCGGACCAGGAGACCGACGGTTTCGCCTCCCAACACTGCATGGAAGTCGTGGAACACGGTCTCGAAGACCATATTTTCCCCGAACTTTTGGAGGTCAACGTTGAGAACAGGGATGAGAACATGGGTCATGCTTTCCATGTTGGGATGAGAACAGGGATCAGGCCGGTGACGGTGCGAAATGGGCCGCGTTCTTGCGGGCGATCGGATGGGGATTCGGAGTCGCAAGCAGCCCCATGGTTCATTTATTGCCTCACAAAGGGGCAAGGCACCCCGTGTCAGTCAGGTCCTCAAAGGGCTCTGTATCGGTGGTGCCAGATAGGGACCTCGAAGATGTGAACCGATTTGCGATGGACTCAGGAGAAGGATGTGGAGAAGGATGTGGAGAAGGATGTGGAGAAGGATGTGGAGAAGGATGTTTCGGTGACAGAGGAGGAGAAGGAGAATGAAGCCCCTGGGCCTACAGAAGGCCATCGATTGGAGGAGGAAGATGAGGAGAACACCCCGCCGGGTGGCATGGGTGTGAGTGTGGCAGGGCGGCGGGGAGGTTCATGATCCATTGGTTCTTCTTTGGCTGCTTCTGAAGTGTATACTTTCATGAAAAAGATTGGAAGACTTCGGAAGGACGACGCTGGGATAGGTTGCAGTCAACAGTTACAGTGCAAAATCGGGAAAGGAGAAGCATTGGTTGAACTCAAGTGCCATAGCTGAAGCCGTGGGCCATTTAGTGGTTCCAGGTTGGCTGTAAACTTCAAAGGAGCCAGGACTGACCATGTGCAGAGTCCTTTGTATAGACCAAGTCTTTCAATCATGCTGTGCTTTCAGACCAGCGATGTTTCATCATGTAGCAGACAACACGTAGGACACACAGCACTCCTTGGGCGACAGGTTAGAGGGCCAAGTCAGGATCCTCCGCTCCCCTCGTGATGAAACCACTCCTGAGTCAACAAACGAACTGAACCAACCGCGAACCCGCTGAGTTCGCGCGACGAACGGAGGAGATCTATGGGAACCTTTTGCAATGGAGCTTGAAGGTGAGATGAGACGAGAGAGTTCGGATGAGACGAGACCCATTGACATCAGACGAGCACGACGGAAGTTCCATTGAAACATCAAACATCCGTTTGAAAAGGACGCCTCGTTCCGTTGGTTATTATCCATTTTGCGGGGGTCTACAGACAACGCGAGAAAGGCAACTTGGGTCTGTCCGGCACTTCATTGTGGAACGGGTCGTGAACAACCAGCGAGAACGGGACACACGCAGTTGGTCAGTTTCAGGAGTTGTGCAGAGTGCTTTTGTCTTTGTTTCTTGTGTTTGCTTATCTACAAGGCGAACTATGACATGAACTTCGACTGGCCCTTATCACAGCGTCAGATGCCCGGTAATGCGAACGGGCAGATGCTGCAATAGCGAGTTGATGCAACAATCCCAAAACCAACCAGGAAGACCAGCTTCTTCAGTACGTGACCTGAGGAAGACCAGCCAGTGACCCTTTAGATGTTGTGACCAGACGACAAAGGATCTCACACGTTTTAATTGAAGAACGCAGGTACACCAGGTACACTGTGAGTATTTTCCCAGGATTTGTCGATGGGGGTGTTTTCCCAGCTCGAACTAGACAGAATTCGACACCCCGTCTCTTTGACACATTCGACCGAACCGTAGAGAGCCAATCTTGTTAATTACAATATTTAAAAGAGTCCCGTATAATCCTGCATATATAGATGTTTGCAACTTGGTCGACACTTGCACTCTAGGTTTCACCGTTTTCTCCCTCACCTCCTCCACCTTCTCCCCTCTCGAGGAAGTTCACCCGCTTTACTCATCTGCAAAGTGTGGAGCGGATGAGCCTGTCGGTCGAGCTCATGCACTTGCGCTGGGCCTTGATGACCTCCAAGCTCCTCTGACCACTGCCGTCGCTGCTCTCGCCTCCCTCACTGGTCATGTCGCGAGCGCCGCGCCGCCCAGTGGATGGAGACGCGCTACCTTGGGATCCAAGTGCAGTGAGCGAAGTGCCTGTGAGTAAGTCCAGGTGGCGAATTGGATCTAGGAGATTCTCGTTTTTTGTCGCATTGAATTCGTGGCGAGGGGTGCGTCATGTGCAACTTGGGCCAGCTAGACAACAAAGAGTGCACTCGTGTGCATGTGAGGCGAAACCTTTGTTCCAGGTGGATGTGTTTTTTGTTGAAAAAAAGGGATGCCGCATTGATTCCAGGATCCTTGTTGGCCTGCAAAGACGCTTTCCTTTCTTCATGGCTTAATTCAGCTTGCTTTTCAATGACCAAATGACCACCTAGCCGCAGAAAAAGCCACGCAGAAAGAATTAAATGTCTCCTCTGACCATGGTGTGGGACATGCGCTGACCACTTGCCTGTTTCATCCTATTTTCGAAGCGTTGGTTCCTATTTTCGAAGATTTGGGATCCCTTCTTCTCAGCATCTCTTGCCGTATCTCACGGTCTGTCCGTTGCATCTCTCAAGATCGAACCGAGTCGAAACGGTGGCGGTCGGTGCTGGGATCGATGCCCCGTTCTCGACGTTCAACCAACGGACGAAGGTCCCAAGGGCCGATCGTGCCTTCTCAAGACTCCAAAGCAAAGGTTTTGAATGGCTTTGATCACTGAGAAAGCATTGTTCTTGAAAGGTCAGTACATTGCTGAAAACCTTTCTCTGAGGTCTTTGACCAAAGTTTTCGGTCGCATCGCTGGTTTTTCTTCTTTTCGGATCTTTTCGGGAACCATGCTTTTGAGTTCCAAAAGGAAAAGAACTAGACGTCAGTGACCTGAGTAGATGACGTAGCGACCAGCGACCGAAGCATCTGACCTTTTCTCCAATGAGATGGATCCAGTCCTCACCAGATGGATCCGGCTCTTCGCAGGGGGGGAGACCAGCGCAGGACATGTCCCTGCGACGGCTGGAAGTGAGTCGGGTGGCCAAGCCGGGTTGGGTACGGCACACATGGACATACATGGACATACATATATCATATATCAGTCATGGACGAAGTACGTGCAAAACGGTGTAAAGTTGACCCACATTGAGTTCGTGAGCACATCTCTATTGAAGTTCCAGACCTATTCTTGCCCTACATTTTTGGCCATTGCTTTGTTATGAGCCTCATCACCGCACCAGGCATCAACGAGTCTAGATTCTAGACGAACACATTGGAGCTTGGCCCAGCTTAGCAAAGCCCTTCCGCCCTTCCGCCCTTCCGATCCGCCCTTGAAAGCCAACATGATCACGTGCGCCCAGGCATCATTGCGTTGCAGGTGCGGAGCCGATCCGCGGACGATCGACGGTCTGGACCCGTTCGATGGTCCGAGCGAAGGAGTTGGACCCGGTCGTTCGAAGGCTGTGACTTGTTGGGACCCTTTCTACGGTCAAAACCAGCCCTGGTCGAGGCTTACCGAGCGGTCCACCCGGTTGGTCCACCCGGTTGGTATCCTGGTGTCGGTCATTGACACCAGGATACACCAGGTAATTAGGCCAACTGCTCAGTAGCCTGCTTTTGTCCCACAGCCATATCAACCTAGAGCCTGACTGACTGTTTTGATAGGAAGTTTGACCATATTTTGGATAGTTGATCCTCCAAAACAGGGGTCAGGAACAAAGACTTTGGGCGAACCAAACAGCCCCACTGCAGCTGGACAGTCGACAGGCCGCTGTGGCCTCGATGGCTGCGGACCCGTCCGGGCCTCCCAAGGAGGACGTCCGGCGCCGGGGTAGGTGAAAAGGGATCAGAAAGGAAGGCAACATATAGATCACATTATAGATCACTGAATGAGCCCTGTTTTGGAGCATCAACTCTCCAAAATATGTCAATGAGATTCATTGAGTTACATTGAGTTTATATACTGAGAAGTTGGCGCAACCAGCTGAAGATCTGATTTTTGTATCGAAAGACAAGAGAAACTCTGCAAGAAACGGATGCACCTCGCCACACACGAATCTTGCGGTCCGTCTATCATGCCTCAACATATCTCAGCATCCCCCGTTGACCCTGCATGTTCCTACAGAGGTTTTTTGTGACCATAGGACCCTACAGGGGTACCCAACTAGGATAGTCTATTATGGTGGGTTCTTCCACCTCTGCTGAACCAGTTTTCCGGTGGTGACCGTCGCCTGAAAAGCACTGCGTCCAGCGGGTCGACTCGTTCCAATCGTCCGAGGCTGCGGCAGCAGCAAGGCTTCGAGGAGCTGCGTCGGCGGCTGCGGGAGACGGACGTGCCGAAGCAGGCGCCGGTACAGGGCCGGCAACGGGGGGGGCAGTGGACTCAGTTCAGGGCCGTCTTTGAGGTGGGAGAGATGTGGATTCTTTTGTTTTTAGGGGAGATGTGGAATGGGTGGAAGATGATGTTCCTTCACAAACAGGCAGGTGAGTTCCACCTCCCCATGGTTTGTTTTCGTCGGAGGGTCATTGGTTTTGAACATCGTCCGATGAACGAATGGAGCGTTGCGCGGTTCGCCTTTCGCCGTTCACGGGTGTTGCGGAGGTGTTGGCCAGCAGTTCCTACGCGTTGCTCTATCACGAGAGCAGCTTGGTGTGTTAAAACGGGTGAATGATGGTGAATGAAAGATGATCGGAAACAGGATGGGTGGTGAGTGTAGGGTTTCTGCTGGTTCTTGTCCTGGATGTTTTGACAATTAGTCAGAATCTCCACCAAGAGAGAAAGATGTTGGTGTGGTGGGTCTAAGTGTTTGTCTGCTGGTGCTGCCACAAGCTGTTTCTTGGCGGTTTGTATCAAGTCCGGGTCTCAACAGCAAGCTCTTGCGTGTGGATGCAAGAAGCTGCAGTCCTGTTTTTCACCTTGAAGTTGGCTCTGCTTTTCAGGGTAAAACATGGCCCAAGCCTGCAGATCTCAGGCACACCGCTTGACTCATACAAGTTTCCGGACATGACTACGACTTTGATAGTGGTGGGCAGCATTGCAAGCAAATATGCCAAGGCAATGAGCATGGTGGAAAGGGCACAAGTGTCAGTAGCCCCTGCAGGAAGCGCAATCAAATGACACCTGTGTATCTTGAAGCAAAAGCTTCCTCTGTGCCACGCTACACACCTTGATTGCCTTGGACTTTTGTGGATCAAAATCCAGCCACTACAGACCAGTCCCCCTTGCAAGATAATGCAGCTTCTGGTGCACCAGTCGAGAGAATCTCTTGGGAAGGCTGGTGTTTTTCGTCCCTGAGATGGTGAAGATCGGAGAGGCCTTTTTCCCCCTACCCTACCCCAAAGAAGGTTTTCCTGTACCCTGTAGACTGTCCCAAAGCATCCCAAAACAAGAACTCGCAAACCACCTCGTCTTGAAGTGTTGATCCCATGTCCCTCCCCGCTGAGCCGCAAAAAGCGTTTGCACCCAAAAAGCGCACCAAGTGCTGGACGGCCTGGTCGCAGCCATGCTGGATCGGCAGGTGCCCCGTCGTCCGGACGATCCGCCGTGGGGTTCGATCGTCCCCGCGTTCGGATCGAACCCGGAGCACGCGGGACCCACGTCGTTTCGAGAGGCCACGGCCACGTCACCGGTCGGTTGCGACCAGGTGGTTCGGGCACCGAGAGGGGATGAGAGGAGCCTAATGGTTCTGCCTTGCTTGCGGGAACATGCCTGTAGAGGCAGAGAGATCCAGTTCACCACCCTTGGTCTGGTGAAACACCGGGGATGGCACCTCTGAACAAAGCTGCTCCTCCCGGATCTTTGGCCTCGCTTGTAAGCAGCTCCGGTCTCCCGTCACCGAGAGAGTCTTCTCTGCCAGGTCTTGCGACCCTGCTTGCGGCGGCTCCACGGTCTGGCGTCCTCCAGTGACGGTTCCGTTGGCCCGAGGGCTGATCCGGTCAGGGCCCTGGGGCTTCTGCAGGTGTTTGGGGCCCCCCTGCTGGAAGTATAGGTGTCATAAGGGTGACTCAGAACTGCAGGGTTACTCCAAAAACAGGGATTACTTTTTTTACTTTGCACAACACTTCTTGGAACTTCCCCAACTCGCTTTAAGGAAAACAGTTGTGAGGTTCCCCCTGGTCCCCACTGAGTCCCCACCTACCATGTGTCCAGCATCCCAATTTCTTTTTCTTCCTTGTGAAATTTCCACGAAGAAAAGGGGCAAAAACAACACCCAAAAACATACACACAAAAACACAAACACATAAAAACACACCACAACTGCCAAAACCCACCAAAAATGATGGTCGCGGTCGGGCGGTCGAATTGCAGGTCTTGGCCGCGCAAGCCTCCTTGGGCAGTGCGGCTCTGGATCTCCAGCGCTGCTTCGCTCCACGCTCCGTCCTGCGTGATCCTCGCCGGACGGCAGGCGAGGGGGGGCGAGGGGGGGGGAAGATGGCCCATTTGTATAATGCAACCTGTTGAGGGAATTTTCGGGATCCGGGCAGGAGATTGTCCCAAAGGTGAGGTTGTAGAGATGTGGCTGGCTTGGTTGTGGCTTCCTTCACCTCTGTCTATATTCAACCAAAGCCTTTGTTTGTGACGTTCATGACGTTTATCAAGGCTGTGTAGGCGTTTGGCGCCAGATATTCCGAAATGGCGTTCAGCTCCAGCCGCCGGAAGCGGTGTTTTCTTTCTTTTTGGGACCCACGGCTGCAGGGCAGGGCGTTTCTCCTCCCTCACCACCCGGGAGGCCGCCTGGCGACCCGGCGCTTGCAGCATGAGCGAGGTGGGGCGGATCTCGACCCTTTGGACGTCCAACATGTTCCGTATTCGGCGTCAGAGAATGCGCCTATACGTCGGACCCGTATATAGATCGCCTCCATGGGAGTATCATGGGGGATCGTCCAAATATGAAGAGGAGGTTCAATTCAAATGGGGAGATTCTTAATCAAGCGATATCAAGCGTATACAGCAGGACAGTGAAGAGTTAGGACAGTGAGGGACAAGTCCAGATGTCGAGAGGCGAACTCGGAGACGAACGTAGAGATTCATCGAGTTCCATATTGTTCCCATTTTCATTTTGGTGAAACCACAACGTGGTGCAGTGAAACAGTAGCTGTGTCAAGTGGTAACCTTCATCCTTGTACCATTTTGGCTCAAGGATGAAGGCACCGGTTCCCCATGCGGTGATTTTGCAATGTTTTTGGAGCTGGTGATTTTGGTTGCCCTCCTGACTGGTATTCTCATCGGTTGCGCTGGTGACCAGCTGGCACCCCGGCCCCCAAAAGCAAAGAAGCGGTGGTATTTAGAGTGATGGTGGAGGATCTTCTATCAACATTCTATCAACAGTACCAGGGCCTTCAAGGGGTGGTTTGTGGACACCCCTTGACAGCTAAGGGGCTATAAATAGACACCCCTTGGATGGTCCTGGTATAGAGTCTATATGAGTCTATAATATCATAGATTCTAGATAAGTGTAAAGCCTTTTGACTGAAGAGACCACGACCTCGGTGACCGTTTTCACCCAGCACGCCCAGCTGGAGGTCTTCGGTCGCACGGCGACCTCGAGGCCAAGTCCATCTCGGCCTTTGCAACTTGGTCTAACTCCTTGAAGTGGACGGGAGTGACCGGCTGCACTTGGAGGATAGGGGAGCACTAGAGGTGCCCACTACTGCTCACCAACCACCTACCTTTTGTGCCTACTAAGTAGGACGAACCACGGAACCACGGAACGGTCCTGGAAGATCCACTTGTTCCAAACCAGATCCGCCCGTTGAAATCAGATGAACCACATGGTGAATTTGTACACCTTGTGTTGGACCCGGCGACCCTGGCGTTCCCTATCAAGGATCACAAGGGTTAATGACACCCAGCGTCAAGATGTTGAACACAAAAACACCGAACATCGACCAGGAGCTTTCTTATTCGGATCTTCCGAACCAAACCAAGGGATTTTTCCGTTTCGGAAGCGAGTCTCCTGGTCGTCTCCTGCCAATCCCTCATCAGAGCGCAGAGCTCAGAGCGATCGGCACAGCATCTCAGGTGGCCAGCAGCCTGGATGCTTCTTCCGTTCGTGGCCGCCTCGTAGGCCACAGGATCCCCTGCTTCGGTATGTCGCCGGGGACGTGAACTCCGTGTGGGGCCGCCCTGTGACGTGAGCTATTTTGGGCTAACTTGGGGGCTAACTTGACGTGGGGATCTCATGGGATGCATCTTGGGGGTTTCACTCTTGTTCTGTACACTTGGCTCCTTCGATGTGGTCTCGACGTGACGACCTGGTCGTTGGCCTTGAATAAAAGGTCCGACAACTCCCACGCTTTTCGGTGCAGTTTGAGAGTTGGTGAAAGACCCAACCGTTTCTTTTTTGATCCCTTTTCTCTTGAGCTCTAAACAATTCTAAACATTATAATAATTGTATAACTAATATAGTATAAAAAGCAACGTCATTTGATTCTTCCTTTATGTTCAATTCTGCTTCTTCAATTGAGCTAGATTGGCTCGCAGCCCACGAATTGGTGTTCAATATCAGGGCGTCCGCGATGCGATTTCGGGGCCAACAAAACCGAAGCACTTTTTCAACCAAATCATGTCCACCCGAAACTGACACCGAACGAAGCTTGGGCTTCTCTGATAAAGCTTGGCCTGGTGGAAGAGTCCAACTAAAACCTTTGCAGCCAGCAGTGTTAAATCTTCCATTTTCAGACACATTTTCTGTAAAAAGGCCATCAAACACCAGGACAAGGATTTCCTCACATAAATCTCGGTACACTCCATTCGCAACCTAAAAAAATCGAGACTTTCATTAAATGAATACATTTGCACCTTCTCGCACCTTCTCGCAACGGGGGGCATTCGGTGGCATCCCGCTCCTTCCATTCCTCCACGGTCTGGACCCGGTGGAAACCGTCGCCAGGAGCGACTTGGAGACCGAGGTCTCCCTGATCTCGGTGCTGGCGGAGCATGACCGCTCCCAGCACGCGGAGCGGCAGGCGCGAGATGGGAGGTGAGAGCAAAGGGGCGAAAGAGGACCCGAACCTATGGAGGGGTCGGACGCGGTCGAATCCTCGCGGGGTCGAAGTGATTTTGGAGAGGACGGAGTCCGTGCGGAGAGGAGGGAAACCTACCCGGTGGATCCCAGCCATGAAGAGCTAGAACGGAACCAGGGGCCCGTTCCGTTTGGTTTACGGTCTAAGTCGAACTGGAACTACTGGTTATACCTATATGAACTAGATTGAACTAGTGGTTTGCCTGGATCCACTGGCTTCAGTTTTGGCATCCAACGAAGATCACTTCTAAGAGCAATATAAGTAGAAGACCCGGAAGATGCTGTCTTGAAATGCTGAGAGAAGCTCCAAAGCATCTCAAGCTCCACATTAATGCCATTGATGTCTGAGGAACATGCTGCTTCCACGTAAATGGTTTTGCTTGGCGTCCTGAGTCTGAAATACTGTCTCAAGGGTGTCTCTGAACCAACCAAGTCAGCACTAGCAAGACCACCAACCCATCCACCTGCCAACCCACCTACCGCCTTGGCTAGGCCTTGCTCTCCTTGGTTGAGGACATCCCTCCAGGCGAACGGGCGACGGCCCATTCCGGGACACCGGAGAGTCCGGATACCTCTGGCGACTCGATGGGTAAAGCTCCAAGGATAGCGGTACGTAGGCAAAGGCTTCACCAGTATGCAGTACGCAGGCAGTTTCTGCCAGCAAATTGCTGGTCTTGTCGGGTGTGGGTCAACACTACTAGTCACCCCAAAAGCAAGACCACATGTTGACATCCCAATCTAACCAACTTGCATCAACTCCCACCGGCTCATTTCGCACCCAATCGGTCCGACCACCGGTGGCACGCCCCAAAGTCACGCCCGATCGGTGGCAGCGACTCGGCCAGGGGCGAAGCCTTTGGGCACCATTCACCTGTGCCCTCCGCGTCTCCCCGCATCTCCGCAACGTCGTCCCGTCTCGCCGGTGTAGGCGGAGGTAGGTCATATAGGTCGTTTCATCCACGGAGCAGGTGAGCAGGTGAATGAGAGGGGGTATTTGATGTAATTATATAGGTGGGAGGGAACTGGTTTCTATCAGGCATGACATTGTGGCTTCTCGTTTGTGCCTTGATACCCAACCGTTGGGGCTTGATGGGACAGTGCCTTTTCAAGCCTTTGTGCTGGCAGTGGGCCCCAAATAGAATCCCTCAACACCATTTCAGCATATGGCACTTCTTACACTTGGCTTCAGCATAGAGTTCCATGAATCCTGGCATATCCTGGCATCTTCTTGCTGGAGTGGGGGTTAACCCTGCATTTTCTTGTCACGTCACCCGGTCCCCCTCCGTTCTCCGGGACCGTTCTCCGGCTCCGACCCGGTCTCCCGCTCCGGGACCGCCGAACGGAACCGGTTCAGACAGCGCCATCAGCGCAGGTACATCAGCGCCCATCCGTGCATCAGCTGCACTGCGGTCTTCTTTCAGCTCGCCACCCTGTGGCCAGGTCCGTGGTTCGGGCGCGGCCGGAGAGGTAGATCGGCCGCCACTGGGGCCGTTTTGAAAAGGAGAGGTGTATGGTAGTGCATGGGGCCACCGGTGTTTTTTTGTTTTTTTGGATGCAAGTACGTACTGCTCGGCTTTTCCAAAGCACCATGGAACCACTCTTCGATGAAGCATTTCAGCGGGTTCGCGCGCTCGGGTTCGCGCACCAGCTTTTTTGTCCAACGACTGTTCAACTCCACGGCACAGCCTTCGAAGGAACTCGCTTGGAAGTGGCCTTCGATGCCTGGGAAGAAACCAAGCGCTGGACAGGCCCGACATGGCCCGACATGGCCGTCTTCCGGGTGGCGCACGACCCCCCACCTGTGCGACCTGTGCCTGGAATCGTGGTTTCCGGAGAAGTACTGTAGTGGTTGCTTCAACCTATATAATAGGCACATCTCTCGTCCTTTAGAAGCGTTTTCTTTGTTGTTTTAAGTGAGAGGTGGCCATCATCAGACGTTTATTTTGTTCTGTTGATTCACAATCCATTGACTTGCTACGCCAACCGCCACCGGTGGAGTCCACCTCGCTGCCAGTCCACCCAGATGAGCTTCCGACGCAGAGCTGGGACCAGGCTTCTTTGGGCTGCTTGGCATAGGTTTTCAGGAAAGGCTACCCTCGCTGAAACAATCATGGAAGTGGAATGCAGCCTGTTCGTAGAGGAAAACAGTCTTCCAAAGAGGCATGCTGCTCCACTTCGATGTTTGTTGGATGGAGGCTAAGCCGCTAAACACCTCGAAGATGGGATTCTGTCCAGTGAGTCTGGAGGTGGCCAATAGTTTTTTCTTCTTTATTTAAATGCAAAAACCCATAAAAACATGTTTTTGCGAGGATGTTTGGTCAGGTTTTCACACTGTAGCTAAGCCCAACGAGAAGCAAAGATAATGTTGGTGGGTTAACCACCACGTGGCGCAGCTGAAACGAACAGCCGAAACCTGGCGCAGCCTCTGCTTCTTTAGACTCAGAGGATCCCACTCCGGCGCACCTGCACATGTATTGCCCCCTCGTAGATGTTGGCGACGCCCATGAAACCAATTTTTCTCAAGAATACAGCCTCTTGGGAAGACTCTTCGGCCGAAACTGCCTCCAACTCTCCGAGTGCGTCACTGGAGCTCGTTGGTCCACCCGACCGCCGACACTCGACCGGTTTCGGCGGTTTGGGCTCGTCTCAGGTCGATGCTGATGGTCCAGTGGATGGGGTATGGCTCAGTCCGCGGAAAGTGAACCACTCGTTCGTTGCAAGAAGACCCCGAACAAGTGGTCTTTTTGGGGAGAAACTCGTGATGCTGGAAAAGTGTAAGGATGCTGTACAGTTTGAGACCTATACCTCATTTCTGGAAGCCGTTGGCACCATGAGATTTATTTCGAGCTTGCCAACTCGTGCGAAAAGAACGCGTGGCCTGCCTGGACCTTGGGGGGGTGCGGTTGTAGTCAAATCCACATCTCGTGAAGCTTACTTGACAACAAGTTGCACTGATTGAGCAACCTAGCCCAGTCTTATCCCTTTGTCATCTGTGCCATGAAGAAACTGCAGGCATCTCAACACTCCTGGCACTATGAATGGTTTCGCTGCCTGGAATCGACCCCATGAACCCACCATGAACCCACCCCCATACGACAAGAGCAAGGGCGCCGTAAATGGTGACTCTTTGACGGCGGAGCGTAGATGGTCCAGCTGTTCCTGTGACCGTTTTGCATGTCAACATGGTATGTCAACATGTCCTTTCACTCTGGCGACAGCTTGTTGTTTTCCTCCCAAAAAACTCTTCCTGGTTCCACCTCGTGAAAAGCACCTTTTTTGTTCCAATGGCATTCCAAGGCCGAGTCGGTTTCCTCGCGCTCCGCGGGCTGGCCGTGGCGGCGCTTCTTACTCCGCCCAGGCGGAGAATGGTGAGCTGGGCCACTCGGCGGCGCAGCTGATGGCGGCCAAGGTCACTGAACTGGAGGCGGTGGAGTGCGGTTGGGGTGGACGCCTGAGTCGAACGAAACCCACCGGTGTGCTGGGGTTCAGGGGGGCCCGGACCAGGTGGTTTCCGGGGGGGGGTGATCGGGCATCGACCACGATTGACCTTGGTTGGATGGTTCAGGTTCATTATGTTGATGTAGTTTTGGAGGGTCTTGGATACAATCCAAGATCTTTGCTTAGGGGCCGGCATCCAGCAGAGCCTAGATCTGTCAATATTGGCGGCCTGCTCCATCTACTGGGGTTTAAGAAATGTCTTCATTGAAGATCATTGAAGAGTCTGGATCGGGCATCACTGGAATGGCACCTTAGTAGCATACCTCCACTGTCTCCGTCAAAGCCAGCAGCTAGCAGCTAAGCACAGCCACGGTTCGGGGATGTTGGGCTTTACACCAACCAACAAAACCAACCTCTCTCAGTTTACATCAAGTTTCCTTCAATCAACACAACCAGCCTGTACAGAACTTACATACCTTTGATGGATCAAGAGATATCAAGAGACTGTTTGAACTAGGTTCGCTGACACTACGCGGTCTCTCTTTCTCTCTCTCTCTCTCTACCCTTGTCTCGGATCTTCACTTCAAACAGTCCAGCATTTGATCCTGTCATCCGCACCGGTGGCATGTCCATGGCCAGCAGACAGGTGTCTGGGACATCCCCAAGGGTCACACCCAGTCGTACCCGGTGGCATGTCCAGTTCCATTGGTGCCAGGCCAAGCTTCTGGAAGCCGAGAAGCGTGCGCGCCAAGCGCAGGTGCGCCACCAAGCGCGTCGTACTCAACCTCTTGCCGCGAACTCCCTCAGAGTAGTCTGTCAATCAATATCCCCTAGGGATCCAAGTACCTTCTCAGAAGGTGATTGGAGACACTCTTATGTGGGTTTGGAGGGTCCAAGTACCTTCTGAGAAGGTACTTGGATTTCTAGGGGATCGTTTTCCATAGATATTCCAGAGTTTTCCACACTTTCCGGGTGGTTTAGTGACTGATTCCTCCGATTCCATCCCATGTTTTGAGGCCGTCTGCGACATCCGGAGAGCGAGTGAATGAACTTCTCAGGTGAGTTGTGTTGGTTGAGAGTGATGGGAGGACCTGGTGTGTGGATTGGTGTGTTTCACCAGAAGCCAAGGTGTTCCTTAGAGGGAGAAAAGCCAAGAAACAACTCACATTCTTCTAACACATATTTTTAAACATCAGTTTTTTTTGTTATATATTTGTTTGTTTCTCTTTGCTGCTCTTTTTTCCTTTTTGTCTAGAACAATCACCAGCTCAAAGAGATCTCGGCCGCTGGCTCGCATGACCTACGCTCCGGTCTGCTGGTCCGGGTGCCAATGACCAGTCCCCGCATGACCGGTGACTGTAGGTGCCATTTCCCCCACTCGGATGAATTCCATTCAACTGAAGAGTCTCTTGGTCTTCAACGAGTCCTGCAGGTCCACGAGTCCCCGGACGCCGCCTTGCCCCTTGGACGAGGGGTGTTTGGACGGTTTTGGGGGCGGCAGCGGGTCTCAGAAGGCCACCGAAGGATCGGCACGTCGGGCCGGAAGGGAGAACCCGGAAGCCAAGCATCAAGACTTAACAAACAGATCAGGGACCTGACACAACAGATCAGGAAGACAGGTTTCTGGGGTCCTTGGATGGCCATGAGGTTCAGGTTCATGACCAACCTCAGTGGCCAGAAACCTCTAAGAGAGCTTGCGTCAAAAAACTGTGGAGTTCATGAGATTCTTACTCTTCTTCTTCCTTGTCAGCGATGTCTTTTTTGTTCTTGGCATCGCAAGTACTTGTGATGATTGTTTTTCACCCATGAACCAGATCCACCTTGATGTTGTTGGGTAGGCCAGTATGGCCGAAGTAACAATAAGTGGTGGTAAACCTCAGGGTGGCTGGGTGGGTTCAGTTTTGGTCTGGTACCATTTTGGCTCAAGGCCTCTTGGTACCAGACCACCCCCATTGAAGATAAGTGGGGGGGGTGAGGCGCCATGGACGGCCTGCTTCCAGACCGAGCAACCCTCGCGTCGTGGTCCACGCTGAGAGAGGCGGCCACGTGGGGGGTCTGGAAGCAGGCTTGGTGAGGGCGGTGACTCGCCAGTTGGGTGACCCTGAACTGAATGCGCTGCCAGTGTTGGCCGTGATCCCGATCGAGGTCTTCGAAGCAGCCCTGGGTGGGGCCACCCGAGGTGACAGGTCGTTGCACGAAACCGAGAAGGCCCAATGGAGGCTGGTGCTCAGTGCAATCACGGTCAAATACGGAGCTCCCTCCTTGTTCGCATCGCCAGCAACCCACACACCGGAGACACCTGCCAGCAAGGGTTCTGCGGCAGGTCCAAGTGGGACCAAGTTGAAGTTGAAGATGAATCAAATCATTGACCAAGGAGTTGACTTCGAGGTTGAGATGTTGCCCAACACCACCTTACAGAAGATGAGGTCACAATATGTGATTTCAGAAGGTGACAACCCCCTCGAGAAAGAGGAAGTGACGGCCCAGTTGAGTTGTTTGTTTCACAAGCTTCAATCAGGGCAGCCTCCATTCGTCGACATGGGTGTATGGGGGCCACATGGTGACAGGATTGCAAGGGCTATGAGGTTCGTGTCACAACAGTGGCGTGATGGGCAATGGAAGGCTGTTGAACTACCCGGCGCATCGAGTCTAGATTCCTGGGAGGAGTCATGGCGAATCTTCCGGACAGCAGCCCTCATGTTACAGATGGCCACAGCAGCCTCCCTCGATCGCTACGCCTCAGAGTTCAGGACGAGGGTTCTGCAACACCCTGATGTGTGGCACTTGGCTATCCGATGCCGGACAGAATTCTGGTCTCAAGAGAAGCGCAAGCAGGAGGCATTCCATGCCACCCATGCAGCTTTGTCAGCTTTCGTGCCAGATCAGCCGTGGAACTCAGTCATTCGGGCCAGTGCATCGCATTCAGAGTTTTGGTCCAGGGAGTTTGAGAAGCCGGCTTTGCTGTATGTGATGAACTCAGCCAAGGCAGTTCCGGCGAGGCCAGCTGGACCAAGCACGACAGATGATCAGAGCTGGACGAAGCCACAACCCAAGAAGAAGACGAACAGTTCCTCAGGTTTCGACCCCCAGAGGAAGGATGGCAGGTATTTCCGGAGCAAAGCAGGCATCAACATTTGTTATGCTTGGTCGAGGGCAGCAGATGGGTGTTCGAACGATCGTTGTGACAAGGGGTTTGCACACATCTGCGAATGGTGCAGGGCACCACACAAAACCATTGACTGCCCTCACAGCCCGGGATGGACTCCGGACAAGAAAGAGAAGCCGAAAGGCAAAGGCAAGAGCAAGGGGGGAGGACCCCCCCACAAGCGGCAGAAGCATATGTGACTACAGTGCCCGTCGGTGGCTCCTCAGGCAGCAGAAGTCGACGTCGAGAAGAAGTTGACACTACTGCGGGAGCGGCTGAAGAGAAGGGCAGTTGACATTGAATTTGATGCAGGCAAGCGTGCAAGGACATTACCTCCTAAGGAGGTGGGTGATAGCATGGTTTCACAAGACCACTGCTTTATGGAGCTCTTTGCGGGTGAGGCTGGACTCACTCAAGCTGTTAGCAGATTGGGTATTCCAGTGTTCGAGCCTGGAGAGATCAGAACAGGAGGCCGCATTGCAGTGGGTACAGACCTTTTATGCAAGGAAACGTTCAAGAAGCTCAAGAGCGAAATTAAGTCAAGGAAGGTGAGATGGTTACACACAGCTCCACCCTGCAAGACTTTCTCAAGGGCCCGGAGGAGGGACAAGTTTGCAAAAGCCCGTCAACTCCGATCAGCTCAACAACCTGCTGGATTGGAGCCAAAGTCGTGGAGAGTGAAGGAGGCTAACGTGTTGGCTTCGAGAGCAGCTCAACTGTCACTTTTACAGTGGAAGGCTGGCGGATGGTTCTCGTTGGAAAACCTTTTACATATGGCTTTACACACCTGTGAAGCTGCTGCTGCAACTCGAAGGTGTGAAGCTTTACCGAGGTGACCAGTGTGCCTTCATGGGTGAGTACGTCAAGCCCACAGGTTGGTTGAGCAACGCAAGATTCATGGAGGTCATGGAGAAACGTTGTCCAGGGAGGCCAGAACACCGGCATGAACCGTTAATGGGATTCACCTTGGACTTCCATGGCAACAAGGTGTTCAAGACGTCACTTGCAGCAGAATATCCACAAGGCCTGTGCATTGAACTGGCAAAAGCATATGCCAAGGAGCTGGAGGCGGTCGGGAACAGGCCAGATAGTTGGAAGCTAGTGATGAAAGAAGATGCCAAGGTCAAAGACCTCTTCTCGAAGAAGGCGGTGGTTGAGCAGGAGAATGAACGATGCATTGGGGGTCTCAGGAATCCTTGGCATGCAGTTCAGATGGTGCCCAAGTGGTTGCAGGTAGGGAACATTGGCTGGCGCGTGTTACAGTCGTGTTTGGGACAGTTGGACAAGCTCAGGTAGGCAAAGAACGCAAGGGTAGCCCAGGTCTTTGGGTGTGCACCCCATGAGCGTGGGCTCTGGGGAGCGTTACTTGAGCGGCTGGTATACCTGAGCGACGACCCAGACATAGAAGCAGCAAGCTGGCCAAGAAGAGGAACACCTTTGGGCATTATCAATGACATACCTGTGGGAGGAGTGTTCCCGAAGGTGGAGGAGGAAGACCCTTGGCAGGAAGAAGACAAATTTGAGTCTTTGGCCGAGTTGGAGGGTGCATTGAACAACTACAAGTCTTACGAAGAGGAGAAGGCGGCAGCAGACGCCCTCTTCCAGAAGGAGGTGGACAAAGGGTTCGTGCACTGGACCAGGGACCTGAAAGAACTAGAAGACCTGTATGGGACGTTGGTGCCATCGGCTATCGGCTACATTTCCAAGATCAAGTTGGACGGAACAGTGAAAGGACGGCTGGTGCACGACCTGAGGAGGAGTCAGGTCAACAGCCACATCGACCTCAAGGAGCGGCTAGTGTTGCCTAGGCTGAGGGATGCAATGGAGGATGCTCTCCACTTGCTTGAGACGCGGACACCTGACGAGAAAGTCAGATTCATGAGCCTGGACTTCTGAGACGCCTTCAAACATCTACAAGTGAGACAGAACGAGTACAGATACTTGTCGGGCAGGGCGCTGGGGGGACATTTTGTTTACAGAACAGTATTGTTCGGGGTCAAGACAGGACCTCTAGTCTGGGGAAGAGTTGCCGCGTTGATAGCAAGGTCGACACAAGCATTGTTCAATGCAAGTAGGTGCAGGTTACAAATCTTTGTTGACGATCCCTTGATTGTGGCCCGTGGTACAGAGGCTCAGCTCAGCAGCATTTACAACATTGTGTTGTTGTGGTGGTTGACATTGGGCTTGAAAGTGGCCTGGTCGAAAGGATCAGTGTAGTCGTGAATGACCAGGAGGAATATGTCAAGGTGATGGTGACGGCTAGCAAGCTGGAAGAGTGGAGAATGCTCCTAGAGAAGTTGGACACCAAGCCATTGGTGAGAAGGAAGTTGGTGCAACAGTTTACGGGCAAGATGTCCTGGGCAGCTGGCTTCATCCCGCAGCTCAAGCCGTTTGTCCGGATGTTGTATGCAGCCTTGACATCCAATCCAAGCAAACTACAGGGCCAAGGACAGGTCTATCACCGGAGCCGGCGCTGCGCTGGATCAGGCGGTTCCTATGGAGTTGGGGACCTGAAGGTCTAGAAAGAACAGTGTATGCACACACTAGACATCGGTGCTGGCTAGATTTTCTGGTGGACGCCTCACCGTGGGGTGGCTGTGTGCAGGACAGCCAACAGAAGTCTTCTCCCTCACCTGGACGTCAGCAGATGAGGCAAAGACGGGTGCTGTGATAGGTGAAGCTGGTTCGCAAGCGTTGTGGGAAGCATATATGATGCTGCGATGTTTGTGGGCCTGGGTGAAGACAGGGGACCAAGGCTACATCAGAATCCGTGGAGATGCACAAGGAGTTCTGTTTGCCCTAGTGAGGAGAGCAGCGAAGGCGCCTTTGCTGAATGAAGTCACAAAAGAAGCGGCGCTGCACCTCGCTGTCCACTTCGCTTCACTAGAAGCGTTGCATTTGTGGAGCGAGCAGAACGTGTGGGCAGACGCCCTATCCCGGGGCCAGATGCCCGGAGAGCTTTCTCACCTGCCGAAGGTGGAGCATGCGCCTGAGCTTTGGCACGAAAAGTGAGAAACAGTGAGGGGGAGCGCATGTTCCCGCACTGAGTGGGCATCCCGAAGAGGGGGGGAGTGGCCAACCGAGCAGGGGAGACCGGGGAGAAGGGTTGAAACCGCCGAGACACGTCGCTCGTATCATGCGATCAGCGTGAGTGTCGGCCGCCCGCGTGCAAGGCAGCTTCAATGCCGAGATGGGCATCACTCGGCGAAAGCCCAAGAGGTGGCTGAAGACCCAGAGGAGTTCAAGAAGGCCATGGAGGACTTCCAGAATGACAAGTTTGCAGCCTCGAACCAAGCGACACACAAGGCTAGGGTTCAGTGGTGGCTACATCGTGCAAAGAGCTTGGACGTGGACCCCTTCCCTTTGACGGTGCAGACGATTGATATGGCAGGTGCCTTGTTGAAGGTGGGCCAATATGGATCCTCAGCCATGTACTTCGCCGCCTTCAAGAGGGAGCACGTGCTCTTGAGCCACCCTTGGACTGATGATCTGACGCTGGCCATCAAAGATGCGATCAGGTCCTGTGTCGGGGCATAGGCGCAGACAAACAGTGTCCAGCCCTGGATCTGAGGCAGTTGGAAGGGCTGAAAGAGGTGGAACCGGTCGATGGAGGCCCAAGGAAGACGATTGACACTGTGATCCTGTTCTCGCTCTTCGCCTGCAGGGAGATGGAGGCGGCCCTGAGGAAGGTGAAGCATGTTCAGATAGAGTCAGGAGGCTCCGGGTGTGGGGTGGTGTCCCTCTACTTGCCGGCTTCCAAGACGGACTCCAAGGGCGAGGGCGCGCTTCGGAGGCAGGGTTGTTTGTGTGAGACCCTACCGAGTTTGTGCCCGGTGGCGGCAGCGAGGAGGCTGCAGCAGGCCGCCCTTGAGAACGGTCACCAAGATGAAGACCCCTTTCTCGTCACTGACAAGCCCAAGACGCCACCGACCAAGCAGGGCATGGTCAAGGCTTTCCGCCGAGTGGCGATTGCAATAGGGCTCTCTGAGGAGGAAGCTCAGAACATCACGGGCCACATGCTGCGGCCTATGGGTGCCCAGTTCATGGCAAGAAAAGGCATTGAGTTCTACAAGATCCAGCTGTTCTGTCGTTGGGGCAGTGATGCAATCCTCAGGTACCTAAGGGAGGTCCCATTGGAGAACGCTGAGAAGTGGCTGGCCACCACGATGTCCGTGGGAGAGGTCATGACTCACTCAGCCAAGGCCCTAGACCACCCGAAGTCGAGGAAGATGGTGCGAGCCATTGAGAATGCCTTGGAAACGCAGAGCACTCAGATTCTGCAGAACGCCAAGCAGTCACAATCGGAGATCGAAGAGATCCTGAGTGAACTCCGGACCAAGTCGGTGTTGATGCACGAGAAATGGACAGAAGAGCTGTCCCGGAAGTTCCTGCCGAAGTTTGTGATGAACACTGGCAGCACTGTCTTTCATGCAGTGAAGGACGCTTTCTCCACCGGCTGTGGATTTGAGTATAGGAACTCCAAGGAATTTAAATTTACCCATGAACCACCAAATCCTGACACCGTCAGCTACCGCATGTGCGAGAAGGCAGGTTGCGTGAAGCTTTTTGAGACGGTAGCGAAGACGCTCTGATCTGGCAGAGAGGAAAAGCCAGCGCTCGTTTGGGGTTGTAAGGGGGGGTGAGGGGAGTTCAGTACTCCACACCCCAAGACCGAGAGGCTTCGGCTGATGTTGCGAGGTACGAGCAAGTGCTCACCTGCCTCGACATCAAACCTCGACCACTGCTGGGAAGGCAGGTCATTTTGCTGCAACCTCACGAGGAAAACGGGGATGTGGTGGGCTCTTGGGAGTTTTCACTTTGGTGTGGAACCACGCTTGTTGAAGGGATTGACCCAGTCCCTATTAGCCCCGCTTCGTCGGTCCACTGACTCTCAGTGTCCCTGAAAGTCGTCATTCTCCCACCTACTTGTGAGAACGCATTCTCGCGCCTGACATCCAAAGGAAGCCAAAAACGGTTTTCTGGTGATGAACAACGATCCAACGCATCACCAAAAAAGTTGGCCACATCCCTCAAAGGCCACATCTTTCCTGACCAATTCATCGCAGCTCAATGTATATAATGCGATGTAGACTCTTGATCATAGTGTGCCCCGCTCGAACTCGAACTCGAACTCGAACTCGAACTCGAACTCGAACTGAAACAGTTATACAGTATTGATGAACTTAACCTTGAAAGGATATATATGGAAGGAACCGAACTCGAACTCGAACTCGATCTCGAACTCGATCTCGAACTCGAACTGGAACTGTTAGAAGTCAACCCAGTGGACGAATAGAAAGAGTCGAACTCCAAAATCGCTGTCGTCGATTCGAATTCGAATTCGAACTCGAACTCGAACTGGTCCCCCCCCCGGTGTCAAAATTGTCGTCGATTCGAAATTTGATCTCGAACTCGAACTGCGTTTCCCCCCCTCCGGGCGTCAAAATTGTCGTCGATTGGAATTCGAACTCAAACTCGAACTAGTTCCCCCCCCGGAGTGAAAAAATTATCGTCGATTCGAAGTCGAATTCGAACTAATGCTGCGTTGTAATGGCTCCTTCCTATTCTAAATTTCACCTTCAAATGGCCCATAACAGGAATGCTACAGTGTAATATAATGGCTCCTTCCGGCTGTAAATTTTACCCTCGGGTGGCCCACAAAAGGCATGCTACGTTGCAATGGCTTCTTCCTTTTCTAAATTTTACTTTCGAATGGCCCATCAAAGGAATGCTACGTTGTAAATCGTTGTAATGGCTCCTTCCTACTCTAAAATGTACCATCGGGTGGCTCACAAAAAGAAATGCTTCGTTGTAATGGCTCCTTCCTGCTCTAAATTTTACCCTCGGGTGGCCCACAAAAGGCACGCTACGTTGCAATGGCTTCTTCCTTTTCTAAATTTTACCCACAAAAGGCATGCTACGTTGCAATGGCTTTTTCCTACTCTAAACTGTATCTGTGGCCCACAAAAGGCATGCCACGTTGCAATAGGCTTCTTCCTATTCTAAATTTTAACCTCGGATGGCCCACAAAAGGGATGCTACGTTGTGGTCAGATGGTTGGTTGCTGCTGGCGCCGCTGGCAGGTGGCTGTTGGTTGGTTGGTTAGCAGGGTTTTTTTGCGGCAGGGAGTTCACACTAAAATGTTGATTTCGTGGCAGGCGCGGGTTTTGGAGAGGAAGTGCAGATTTCGTGGCGCGGGGGGG